TTAGCAACGTTGTACTGCCAAAACAAGGCTTACGCATGAGTCAAAATTCTTACTGGAGACTTTTCATATTATAATTATTCGTGTGCACCTCGTGTAAGTATTGTAAAGTCATTTTTGAAGTTGGTTTTTGGAAGAAAATCCATAAACATATGAGAATTTTAAAGCTCAAATATGCCAACTTTGCAACGCTGTATCTCGGAAACAAGACATATACTCAAGCTAAAATTTTTACTGGAGGCTTGTCTCATCATAAGGTTTCATTTAAGCCACATACGAATGAAATCCCCGGGTTCCCGAAAAGGGGCCATTTTTAGGGAGGCTCTTTTTACTACCTATGCAATTGCTGCTTATTGCAATCTGTGCTTCTTGGTCTTGGGTTGTCCCCTATATAGTGTCAATATCTTGAAAAAAAGAAGCACCCTATTTTTATCAAGCAATCATTGATGACCCGCATCGCATCATGTGAGGACTGACCTGTCAAGTTGGCAAGTGCAGCACTGCCGGAGGAAGAATCGCCCGGTGGCGTTAGTGAGGATGGAGGGGGCGGAGGCGAGTCCAACGGCTCCTGTTGTTGTTGTACTTGTTTCTCTTGTTTACGCCACTTTGCCCTCCGATTTTGAAACCAAACCTATCAAAAGAACAAAAATGGACCACTAGACAAGGTACGAATTTCAGCACTCTGATATATGATCCGTAACCAAAATTTCACGTAGAGCACGATGCGCGGCCTGAATTCAAACCACCCGCTCATGAAAACTCAATGCTCTACGTGATTCACATCGCGCGCTAAACGTTATCATGACAGTCTCTGAGCGATGTAAAAATCTGGCAACCTCAATCTTGACGCTTTGGCTCAGCTATAGCAAATTGCCTATAGTTCGAACAACACATGGTGGGAAATGAATATTGCTCTATTAAGAAACTTGCTGAGACCGTTGTCGTGCGCGATTTGACTCACGTAGAGCTTTGAGTTTCTTGTGAGCAGGCAGTTCAAATTCCTCGTAACCAATGTGAAATGAAAAGGTTAATATCTTCGTTAGGAGTTGGTTTCAGTAATTTTCGTTGCGCGAATCGTGTTTTACGTGAAATTTTGGTCAAGAAACATGTACCGGAATGCTTAAATTCGTACCTTGTCTAGTGATCCATTATAACCAATTGAATAATCCTCTCTGCAGGGGTACAGGCTTATCTCGAAACAACGACCGATTGGTTGTTCGCGAACTGCGTAGGCATAGTGGGGAAATAGCATTGGCTACGATCTTGAACAAAGATGATGTAAAATTCAATACGATTCTATTAAAATGTGCTCCATTTTTTCCGTGCACCTTTCGAAGTTGTGCACGTGCGCGGCGCCCGTGCTTAAGAAGAACGCCGTATGAGCCTTCAGACGTTGCCAAGTTTCCTCCGATAAAAACCGAATTTTTTGGGAAAATTGCGAATATTATTTTCCAAAGTGTTCAGACAGATTTTTACGCAATTCAATCCGAAACGTCTGAAAATTTCAAGGAAAAATATAAAAATATGATACTTCTTTTATCAAGGGAAATTTGGCAACTATAGAGGGTTCATACGGCGTTCTTCCTTAGCACGGCAGCGCTGCCCGACGTATTTTCAAATCATTGACGTATAATACAATCTAGACCGCGCATTGGGCCCGACTTTAGGTGGGGAAGGTAAGACAGCTAGGGGGGTAAAGACGCGCCTTCAGCCTAGTTGATACCGCCGGATATACGAGCTAAGTGTACCCGTATCAGGCAACGGCACTGATAAGACTGGCATTTCCATTGTCTCGGTCGGTACACTTACTGCGGTTGCTGGGTTGCCTATCGTCTCGCCTGAAGGGACTCTAGTCTTGCCGAAATTTCCTAATGCGCGGTCTAGATTGTAGTATACGTCAATGTTTCAAATAGCGTGGGCATCTTCGGAACTGACAATAGTGCGTTCCGCGAGTGAAGGACCAAGGGCGAGGCAAGAAATCGGAGAGGAGAAACTGCGCGGTGCCTGGAGAGAACCTTGAGTCCGGCTCTTCCCACAACTCACGATCTTTCCCGCGCAAAGCAGGGCCGGATTATGGGGGTGGCCACATGGGCCGCGGTCCATGGCGGCAAATTTTGCGATTTTTTTAAATGCAGGTACAAAAAAATCGGATTCAGAAAAAAATTACAAATAAGAAGAGGTGACAAAATCTCTCATTTCCTGAGAGTTCATTAATTTCAACTTTTGTCGTATTTCGGTGGTACAAAAGAGTGCGCACCTTTAATAAGGTGAGTTAAGAGAGAGACCAAACACGTAATTTGGCCTGGAGCGGAGCGGCGCAAAAAGAAATGATGACGAGGACTTGTGATGAAAAAGGAGAAGCTCTCGACGCGGCGGTCGGCATTCTCGGCATGTAACACACATTAGCGCCTACGAGACTGCATGAATACTTTACGCATTGCGTCAAACGCAGTACGATCAACAGCGGTCGGCGCGGCGTGAAACGCACAGTGCCTACGAGACTACATGAATACCTCACGCATTGCGCCAAACACAGTGTGGTCAGCGCGGCACGGCGGCGGAAGTTAAAATTATTAAACCACGTTTATGTCTGTTCTTTCTTAATTTTTTAGTTCATTTCTTACAAATGAAAGGCTTTGTCCCCACAGAGATAGGTTTACGGAACTGAACTTTCGCACGAAGTTCCGTGAACTTTTGCTAGTAGTGTTGACATGCAGAGCTTACGCAAAAAATATGTCCAACACGAGTGAACGCGTCTTATGCACTCTTCTCCCCCCGGTACGTTCACTTGATGGTTTTTATTGATGTTTCAAAATGAATGAGAAGAGGGCGGCAAAAACAGGCGGCCCATGGACGGCAAGTAGGTAAATCCGGCCATGGCGCAAAGTCCAAAGTTTCGCAGATTTTTTTTCGGATGATGCGGTCACAATTATGGTTATGGAGCAACAAACTTTTCGCATATCCTCAAAAATGAGAAGAATTTGGTCCTTTTGCCGCCCACTCAGGGATTTTAACAGAGAGTAGAAAATGTGGAGCGGGCGAAACGCGCGATACAACATTTTGACCTCCAAGTAGGTAAAATTGAATATCTACGAAATGAAGGAGACCGTGAACTCCTTTCGGCTGACTCAGAGACTTTAACGCAGAGTAGAAAAGTTGGATGGGGCGAAACACGTGACACATACAACTAGTTTGACCTCCAAGAAAATAAAATTGCATAACCCTAAAATGAAGGAGAACGTATTGTTTTTTATCATCCCAACCAATCGGTTCGTCAAACCCAAATTGTAGTTCGTCAGGATGAGAGAATAGCTTATGAAAGAAATTCGGTTACATGAACCGCGCGATCCGAGAAAACTGATTACCTACAGGAGATCATAAAATATTAAAGATAATTTTTTTTAAAGTGCAGCACCAAGATGAAAGGTCTTTTTACTTACTTGGACTCTAGCCTCAGTCAAATCTATTTTCAAAGCTAACTCCTCGCGGAAAAAGACGTCTGGATAGTGAGTCCGATGGAAGGCACGCTCTAATTCCTCTAATTGATAGTTGCTAAAAGTAGTCCTGTAACAAGTAAGATGGAGAAAATAGAAAAGATGACTCACACATCATATATTACAGAATATTCTGTCATGTTAATAATATACTTTTAAAAGCATTGCTCAAAGTAGGAATAGAAAACGCAAACGTATGTATTTTATATCCTAAAGAAAGTTTTTCTTTTTTTCTCTTGGCAACGTCAATTTGCGGAATCAATCATTCTTAAAATGTAGGACGTGAAGAATAAAATTGCACAGGTACCAAGCAGACTCTTTTGGCGAGGTCATTTCTCATCACCGTTCTTCTCGAAATCAATTGCTTGCACAAATGCACAACCGCCTTCCTTTACTGAGGTAGGACAAAAGCATAGCAAGGTCTGTATAGTGGGACACATGGACAAAACCGAGAATGATATTGTGGGAGGGCAGAGGAGTGCCTCATCAAGTAGGCTCCGGGGGCTCCTCCCGTTCCAAAAGGGGCTCTAGACGGTCCCCTCGAGAAAATGTTGACAATTTTCAGCGGCAATGTTGAGCTGTTCTTGCCAGTAATTGAAATGGCACGGACTTATCTTGCATAATCCTTTATATTTTTAGGAGGGGACCAGCTGCCCCCCGGCCTTCCCTAGTTCTGCCCATGCTCTTCCTTCTCAGGTGGGTCCCTTTTCCCGCCGAGGGTTGAATGTTGTAGAAATGCATGAATGAAGTATAACTTGCCTGTATCGTCTTTGTTTTCTTTTGCCACTGTAACTTGTCGATGGCGCGTTTGTGGTGGTGAAAGACAAAGGTGAACTCGGGCCTGTTGCTCCGACCATGCTCGTGTTCAAACCTCCCCCTGCCTCGCCGTAACCTAACAAAAACATGCATGAACGTCAGTCGCTCCAATCGTAGACCACTTGTTCGATGGTTAAAACTTTTAGACTATTAGGAGGTAATGAGTGGACGTTGATTCTTCAAAATTAATTTTCGCCTACTGATGGTCTACCACTCAAAATCCACAATTTTATTATATCCTATTTTTATGTTCCTTTGTAAAAAATGGGCCAGAATATTGTTACTCCACCCTCCCAACCCCCCCCCCCTAAAAAAAGAAATTATTATCTACACCCGAAGAGTTTTCTTTTGGCGTAAGTGTTAATGTACCATGAAACATAACATTTTATTTTTTTTTTCTTTTCTCTTTTCTATTTTTATTTTATTTTAGCAGTAATCATCAGAGTATAGAAAATTCCAGTCGCTCGAGTCATGATAATTGCTCTCGGTAAAGAAATGTGCAAAAGATTCATATCCTTGCGCACTAAGAAATCGCGCCTGATCACGCCTTGAAACTAAGTAGCGACTCTGAAAAGCAGGCGCGCCTTCAATTTTCAGGTATGCAACCTCGACATCCGTCGAACACGAATAGTTGCATGTTGCATAATGCGAGGAACCTCGCGCTGCTGTTGTCTCACCTCCATCACGCGTTAAGCGACGTAAAACGCAGCACAAGCGAGAGGCGCCTTGCTCTTTCATTCCCCACTCCTTTTTAATGAAATGCAATGACTTTTTCCTTCATTTCAATGAATTTTCTAACATGTCCCGGTCACAATTACCATTGACGAGTGAGAAACAGAGGGACTCAAATTCATGGCAGTGTTGCAAAAAGTCGTTTGACGATATATTTTTTAAGACACCTATTCAAGAACAGCTTTTATTATTATTTTGTTCAACAAGATTGTTTGTCAAACCCCTTTTGTGATTTGATGAAAATTTTCCGGGGAAAAAGCGGAGATCCTTAAGTAAATCCGCCATTAAAGATTAAGTAATCTGAATAGCTCACTAGTGTTAAATTTCTGCTGCGATCCAAAAGAGGGTAATAGAGTTGTTGAAGGTAAAGTGAGCATCTCTGATAGAAGAGGATCCCCCGTGGATGAGAGACCAACTCCAGCCGATAGTGAGTTCAGGAGGCCGGTTATGGAGTAACTGTTTGCCGCACTAATACTTGGGTTCACGTTTGAGGAGCTCGATCTAATGTTCTGCAGTTCTGTGATATCGATTAGTGGTTTCAATTCCATCTAAATATTAAGATTCCCTGAAAAGAAATGTACATGGTAGGCATAAAAAAATCGAGAAATCGCAAAGTAGCTCGAGAAATCAGAGGTGCATATAGAAGGAAGGATTCTGAGGTCTTGTATTACGGTTAGCGTTTCGGGAGGCGGAGAAAATGTCAAAACCTCGTGATTTTTTAAGACATCCGCTCCGTCGACATCATCATCAATTCCCTGGCACTTTCATTAATTAAAGGTATTTTTCCAGCGGGCCGATTGTTGAAATTGATAGACAATGCAATAGACAAAGAAGACATAGGGAGTGTGGAGCAATCCTTTCGGTCGAAATGGGTGGTCGTACAGACCAAGGGGGAAAATGATAGACTAAGTAAAGGGTTTCTTGTCGGTTGCAGTTAGTTAGTCTATTACCTACCACCTTTGTCCATTGCAATCACCCACTTCCACCAATAGGATCCCTCCAGATTCCTTATTTGTCATCTTTGTCTATAGATTTGTCTACCAATTTCAACAATCAGCCCGGAGACATTATCTCGTATGTGTTGTCATTCTCTCAGAATATTCGCTCGGAAAAATTTGAAACCTTTTTCTCGAGGTCGGCAAAACTTATGAAGGAAAACACTTTTTGTTCCTCTGTTCATCGCCGCGGTGTATTGCAGGGTTAAAAGTACGTGGTTTTACTTAAAAATCACGAACTCGTATAATTGATACGTGTTAAATATTTTATTACGTTTGAAAAACGCTGTAGAAAAATCCAAAGTCATGAGTCGGAAAACGCCGACTCTGCTAGTATGAAAATCAGAACGAAACACGGTGCGCTCACTCAGCGCGAACCGCGTATTGGCGCCTACAAGATTGGAGGGATACTTCATGCATTACGCGTACGCGTGGTGTATACGCAATACATGAAGTATCCGTGCAGTCTTGTAAGTTGTAGGTACCAATACGCGTTTCACGCTGGCCGCAAGCCGGGCAGCACCTTGTTTGGCTCTAATATTCAAACTCACGCTTTTCAGCTCATGATTTTGAAATATCTGCACACTCTGTGTGAATTATCGTCGTTTAAATGAGTCACCAATCCCTAAACGAATTTTGAGTTGCTGATACATTTATCCGAAGGTAAATCACGCGTATAACACGATGGGCGAGTTAAAAACGCGAAAATTTAACTCAGAAACCGAGAAATACGCAGTTCAGAAGGCGGAACTTTTCCGCAAATTTAAAACGCCCCGGTTTCGCGCTGAATTGAATGTCATACAACGAAATAAAATTCAATTAGTCAATTAAATCGAGTACAGTAGTTTAGTGATTATGCTTTTGAAAGTTTTCGAAAAGCGCAAATACTGAAATCGAGGAAATCTTAAGCGGTAACATTTGGATTAATTTTTTTTTCGACGCCTCACCTAGGATTTCATGCGAGGAATTTCAGGCTGGCTTCCTTTTAAATACTTCGTCATTTGATTCGTTTTTTATGAACCCAGTCTATTGGTGCTCCAGTTGAATGACTCGCTGAAGCAACCAACAACGGAATTCATTTTTTCTCCAAATTTTTACCCCAAAAAAGCGCATTGGCACTCGCCCATACCGCGTTACTGGCCGAAGGTTGTTGCAAATCCCTAATTTGAATTATGTCAACTTTTTCGCGCCGCGAGTAAAGCGGCAGGAGACACACAGTTGATCGAGTCAATAAGAGAGGCCAGACAAAATTTGGAAACTTTAAACGCATATAACTCCACTTATACAAAATTTCGAAATTCTAAAAGTGGTTCCATCGGTTTCCTCGTAAAATGTTCTACCATAAGCACTCGTTAAAATTCAAAATGTGACGAAATAAGCAGAAAAATTTGCAGTTTTAGTTAAAAATTTCGTGTCCGACCTCCTTAATTGACTCGATCCATTGTGCGGCATCAATCGTGGCGAGTGCTTGGAGAGTCAAAACGCCTTCAATCAGGTGCCTACGCATCACGCACATCCGTAGAGCCCGAATAGTCGCATTCTTGCGTTATGCTAGGCTGAAATTCTTTAGGTGTTTATTCGTACACGATTACAACTGAGGGCGCTTTACATGTTTCTCGTCCACTGTAACTTAGTCAAGCGTGCTGCCTATCGTACCAATGAAGTAAACTATTACCGATTTTCATAGCGCGTGACTCGTTCAATTTTCCGAAAAATGTATCGATCGTTGAAATGCATTACAACGTTGTTGATCTTCGAAATCGCAAACAATTTAAGTAATTGAGCATGATTTGCTTAGTTTCCTTTAATCTAATTTAAACCGTCGTCCTCTATTGGGATTGTTCTCTATTTTCTTTCGGATATCTATTAAGTGCGAAATTGTCAAAAAACAATCCATACCTATCAAATGCAAAAGATTTTGAACATAACCAAAGAGAAAATAAGAGCCCGCGTTGAATAGCAAAATGCGTGACTGTCTGATATCTTCTCGCGCTAGCTTCTCAGCCAAACAGACATTTGACGACCACTTTTGAATTTTTTTATGGATGTTATTGACTGTCCTAGACGTCCTGTGAAAGGTTGGCGACAAGGAGAGGAGGAGGAGATCAGAAGGTGCCAATGGACCACTAGACAAGGTACGAATTCAAGCATTCTGATACATGTTTCTTAACCAGAATTTCACGTAAAACACGATTTGCGCAACGAAAACTAATGAAACAAATTCCAAACGAAAATATTAACGTTTTTATGTCACATTGGTTACGAGGGATTTGAACTGCCCGCTCACAAGAAACTCAAAGCTCTACGTGAGTCAAATCGCGCACTACGACGGTTTCAACAAGCTTCTCAATCGAGTAATGTACATTTCCCATCATGTGTTGTTCAAACAATAAGCAATTTGCTACAGCTGAACCAAAGCGTCAAGATTGAGGTTGTCAGATTTTTATACCGCAGAGACTGTCATGATAACGTGTAGCGCGCGATGTGAATCACGCACAGCATTGAGTTTTCATGAGTAAGTGGTTTGAATTCACGCATCAATAATCATTAAATATCTTAGTTAGGAGTTGATTTCGGTAAATTTCGTTATGCGCGTCGTATTCTACGTGAAATTTTGGTTAAGAATCATGTATCAGAATGCTGAAATTCGTACCTTGTCTAGTGGTCCATTGTCTGATATCTCTTGAAGGATAAGGGGCAATGGCGATGGGGCGTCGCAGAGCGCGAGGCGGCGCTATAAAAGCGGCTTTATGTATGTATTGACTTCCTTCTGTCCCAAGAAGGAGACAATTGAAATGTCAAAAATCAATATGTTTGGTGTTTTTAGAGAAAGTGGAATGTATTCATCAATAGAGACGCCAAATCCTCGAGTCAGTCATGGACATCTTTTTACCAAAAAATCGGCTGAATTCGAAAAAAAAATTATGGTTTCGACTCCCCATGTTATTTTCTATGAGGAATTCAAAAATGGTCTTCAAATGTCTGATTGGCCGAAAATCAAGCGTGAGAAGACTTCTCTAGAAGCAGTGATCGCGATAAGTTGCGCGTTTTGAACGGAGAATGTATTTCAATCTTATCGACGCCAATTTATTGCAATATTATCGGATAAAAAATTGCTATTTTATCCATTTTGCAATGAAATCGCGATTTGATCGAAGGCGATTTAGCACAATATTAGCACATATTTTGAACAAAAAATCGTGATAAATTGACATGAAATATAGATTTTATCGAATGCGATTTTACAGAGATAAAATTTCGACAAGATCGAAGATAATCGCTCAGATATTGATTATCCTAGCGCGCCAAAAAATCGTAAACAATCCCAACTTAATTTCAAAATATCGCAATTTTTCCGTTGAAAAATGATATTCAGGTAAGAGGTTGAGCATTTCTGCTATTCAATGCGGCCTCTCATTTTCTCTTTGCACGAAACGATGACCATTTGTCTCAGGAAAAAATGAAATCGGGCAGAGAATTTTAAACATCTCGAGCTGGAAAACAAATAATCATGATTTCCTAGTTTTACTGGCTAAACTGTAGCTCATGAAAATCGAGTTAATATGTTTGAGAATAAATACATAAGGTTCTGCTCTTTCCCTTCCGTGCTGCACCGCAGCACAGCTGATCGAGTCAATAGTAAAGGTCGGACAAAATTTGGGAACTTTAAAAGCTTACAACTCCAATCATTCAAAGATGTGAAGTTCTAAAAGTGGTTCCATCGGATTCCTCGTAAAATTTTCTTCATAAAGCACCCCTTGAAATTTGAAATGTGATGAAACAAACATCAAAATTTGCAGTTTTAGTCAAAAATGTCATGTCCGGCTTCTCTCATTGACTCGATCCACGTTGCGCGGCCGCGAGTAAAGCTGTGAGTGCCTGGAGAGTCAAAACGCCTTCACTCCGGTGCTTATGCAATTACTTATGCATCACGGTCATCCATAGAGCCCGAATAGTTGCATCCATGCATTTTAATGAAATTCGTTTAGTGTTCGTCCAATTCGATACTAATAGCCGAGGGCGCATTGCTTGTTTTGTTTCTCTTCTACCTTAAATTATTTTCAACGTTGACTATTGCACCGATGAAGTAAACTAACCCTTAATTTCATCGCGATTGTCAATTTTCCGAGAAATGTTTTGTTTGTTTGGATGTATCTCAGCGTTGCCCTCCTGAAATGTGGGCTGCGGTTCATATACTCATTGACATAAGGACGACCGGTTGACGTCATCAGGCGTAATAGGTACCTATACATTATTTGTTCAGGCTAGCGCGATGTTATAGCAGTTTCCAGTCTCGTCTTGTTTTTGTGAGGGAAAATCAACCGTCATTTTAGTGGGCATAATTTTCCTCTGCTGCTTCCTTCAAAAATATTCTCCTTTAATCAATAATATTAAAAAGTTAAAAGAAGCTTGAAGTTTTTCGAAAAACTGGCAATGTAATGGTGTAAAGTTTGAAGCAATGGAAACTAAATAAGTAGGTGTATGTTTTTCGAATTTTACTATACCTATCATTTGGAAAATTCTTTATCTCCGCCCCGTTGCGAAAGGAAGAGGGGAGGGAGGGGAAGGGGAGAGAGTGAGAAAATAATAAGACAAACTAAATAGGGCCGAGAGGACGTCGTGCGTGTGTTAATTATTTTAATTTCAAGTGCTTGTTTTTTGTTTAATTTTACTTATACTTCAAGTTCATATCAAAGCATTATATCAGTCAGATCAATAAGTCATGATCTTCAATGAGTTCCATGAATAGTTCCACTCTTGATAATTGTTTTTGCATCAAACAGAGCGTGAATTTTAAATTTTTATATTCATATGTAAATCACAGGGGCTGTAATTACTTTTTTTTTTTGGGGGGGGGGGGGGCTGGTGCCAATAGCAAAGTCCATGAGCGCTGATTAAATCAATTTCTAAGGTTTCACATTGAGCATATCAAACTAAATAGTATATTAATTTAAATAATGCCCACGAGATCTCGACTACTTGTGATGTGTTGTCTCTATCGCACTTGATTCAAAAAAACATATTCGCACTAATTATACATGTACACTTTTACATCATGGATGCATCAAAACTCTTTGAACCAAAATTTAATAATAATCGTCGTTTATTTATTTATTTTCAATTTTTATCGTTATTTAGTAACAATCAGTTAAAAACGAGCCAAAAATCAAATATCTACATCTATATCCTTAGAGGATTATGATATCCTCTTGAACCTCAATATGTCGCGCGAACAGAAATTTCCAGATTTCGGTTTTTTTTTTTTTGTCGAGAATAGTACCTATAGCTATCTAAACGTAAAAATATTTATGAATCTAGTTTGATATCAAATTGATCTGAAGATTCGTTTCGTTTGTGTGAAGGCGACCGATTTTCGAAATGGCATGTCTTCGTCAGGCGAATGAACCAAAAGAGAGGTGAACAAAAATAAATTTAATTCACTTTAGAACATCAGAGGGCATTAAACTAGTGGACCAGGGGGAAGATAATCGCCGAATCCTGCTGGCAAACCCCGTCTGAGGGACGGGAGAGAGGCGCATCTTCTACGAATACGACAGGATTTGCCAAAGCCTACTGGAGGGTGCGGGAGACTAGCGTCTACTAGACTAGCTACGGAAGAGATTACGAAAGTTTTATACCTATTTATTATATTAGCTCGTTATCAATTTCACCTAATTATATTATTGGCGTAAAGAAGGCAAAGGGGAAAAAATCACTCCCCCTCGAAGCGAGAAACAAATGAAAACACTCACTAATTTGGTTAGAACTAATTGAATGAGAGTTAAGTTTCGCTGGACGGAACTATCGCTGCGTTGCGCATGGTATCCTCGGTCTTGGCTCTGCTGCCAATTTTTGTCGAGAACTCGCGACAGTTTTTTATTGTTCGCGTTGAAAATGCGGTGAAAGCTCTCGGCTCGACAACGCGGGGTCTTAGATACTTTGAAGCCATAAAGTTCTCCCTACCCTTCTCCATTACACTCTCCTCCCCTGAGCCCACACCCACCCTCAACAAACCTAAGTTAATTTGTCCGTAAAAACCACCTTCACTGTCACTAAAGACGAGAGTTCCAGTTTTAAAGCTGGATCTCTGTAAAACGTATGGCAAATCCAGCGCAACGAGAAAATTTACGTTAGCTACAACTTCAGTACGCAATTTGACTTCGACAAGTCCAATTTTTACTTTCTCGCTTCTCTTGCGGGTCGTGGAAGTATTTTTACAATGTATAATATTCGGCAGTTTTTGCAACATCGACATCACTGCAAAAAAACTGCATTTCACAGTCACTGAAAAATGAAGAAATATTTGATCTAGATGTAGGCGATCCGCAAAGCACCTTGAGACTGCTGTTTGATACGATAGAAACTTTTAATATTAGAAATCTTGCAACATATTGCTTCACCGCAAACATGAGACTTTTTTGGTGCGAATTTGTAATTTTTTGCGATCTTGAGGAAGCTAAATTCTAAAGAGGAAAATATCAGTGTTGATATGAAAAGCATTGGGAACTCCAGTGACTGACAATGGCGGTACACGAGTGAAAGTCAATATAAAGAAAGGGATAGCACTTTCAGATTGATGGATCAGGCGGTGGGCATTTTTTGGCTCAATCCAATTTACCAAACGCCAGAGGTTTTTGTACTTTTGGGATTGAGGAATCAATATAGGCCGTTCATGAAACACGTAACGCTATTGGGGGAGGAGGGGGTGCCGAGGAGAGCATCATGCCATTTTATTTTGGCTTGATAAAGGATAGGGACCCATGTATCGAAATCGTTAGGAGGGAGAGGGAGGGTCGAAAATTTTAATATTGAACGTTACGTACTTACCTGTTTTATAAACGTTTGCATAACCATTGATAGAATAACTAGACATTTTAAGGAACTATCATATTTCAAACCATTATTAACCGCGTCAACTATATTCACGTTGATAAGAGAAGCTGATTTTCAAAGACGGAGAACTCTTCCATTTATTAAATTCAATGCATGAGACAAGTAAATAACCATGGCGATGCTCAAAAGAGGAGGGAAAGAGAATACTATGTCTTTCAACCTTCTTGGGACGTAAAGCGGGTCTTCAGAATGATTCTATTGCTCTGCACCAACATGTTGAGAATTATTTTCTGACAATAATTTGGGATTCATACCAATAAAGGTTCAAAAATCATGGCGAGTGTGACAGATTGAAAATCACATTCTCGATTCCCGTAATTCGAAAATTGGAGAGGAACTTTCAATCTTTGCTTCCATGAACCTGCGACCCCCCCCCNNNNAATTTCGTCATGTACAATTTCACCTGAAAGCCAATTAAATCCATGGATAGCCCTGCCAAGTAGCACATGTTGCAGTTAACGGGAGTGACATGATACGATTTCTACTACTATGTCAAAGTGTTGTGAATGTTGCCTACCCACTAATTGAAGGGACGCTTCTTTCTGAAATCCATTACAATAAAATTAGGTCAGTTGCATTTTGTCTTTGCATTTCGAACTGCCTGGATTTCTAAAACATGGAATCATTTTATTGATGGTTTAAAATCGGCATCCAAATGACGTATATTGTGATTTCTTGCTTAAGAAGAAGAAGAAAAAGAAAAAAAAGAGAAAACAATATCTACGTCTAAGCTGATAAAATTAAGTTTACACGATGACAAAGTTCATCTTCTTTAAACATAGTTCTACCCCTTTCACCACCACATCACTTAATGCAGCTGCAAAATCTTCCAATTATTTTTTAAAAGTTTTCATAAAGTTCCAGCTATCTAGCTGAGGCACCGAGTGGCAAATTTCAGAAGGAGGGAAGTTAAAGGGTTCCCGTTCATGATTGCATCTTTGTTCGAAACCAGGCGAATTTTGTTTGACTAACACGAAATCCGTATAGGGGATGCATCTGTATGCCATTAAATAAATAAATACTTCAAACAACTTTCGAATTAACTTTCGTTGTAAACAAAAAACCTCCTCTGCAGGGGAACAGCGCAGTATGAGTAGGAAATAATATTAATATCCAAGTAAATAATTTACCAAACGGTTTTTCATTCTTGCAAAGGAAGGAGGTGTAGATAATTTTACCACCTTAAAAAGAGAAGGCTCTTAATACGCAGAGTTAGAGTTTTTGTAATTGTGCAAAATGATAAAATTGTTGAACTCTTTGTCAACATTGAAGTCAGTTCCCATGTGCGGTCCTGTCGCTCCGTCGAGAGCAGTGCCGTCAATTTGAACTTGGCGCTGATTCGGAGTTGCCAACGGATAAGTGAGCCTTATCCGAACATTTCCAGGTTTCATCTTCTCCTGAAACGAATGACAAATTTATTCGATAATGAATTTAGTCTTTTTTAAATTTTAAAAGCAAGTTAAGTTTTTTGGTATTCAAACACTCAATGCCAAGTCATTAACTCAACTTTTATGAGTTATCTTATTTTAGTACTTTTACGATATTGGCTGTTTGCGTGCCTGGTAAAATTCCTTGCATTTCGATGCAACCCTGGCAGATAGCGCTGATGGCGATCTGAAAATCGTCCATCTTTGTTTTTGTACAGGAACCAACGTGAAGTGAAGTGTAAATCGTCGAGAAATGGACACCGACACGGCCGTGTAAGTGGTATTTTTTATCCAAAATCATCTAAAATTACAATGCGCTGCCCATGAATCAGCAATCATTATTTCATTTTTCAACTTTCGAAGTATCTCTTCGAAATGTGTTGGGCCGTCTTGACACCGCCACTTTTCTGCTTCTGACACATCTTTCTATTAGTTTACGTGTTCTGTTTGCATCTACAACACGTCAACCCTCATGCATTAAGATCGCTGATCCCATCAATTTAAGCACCACTTGGAAAATTTTTTTCCCAATTTGTTAGGACGTAGTTGAGGATTAATTATAGTGATTTGATGGCAACCTAACCTCACCAAACTCTCAACTCCCAGCTTGAGAATTTGTTCCCTGCAGGCCTTCCTACTGAAATTACATTTTTGCGATAGTCTCAATCGCAGCATTTGCTGCTTAGGACTTATTTGTAACATTCTAACTTCGTCCCCCTTTTACAATTATGATTCATGTAGGCCTGCTGGGTTGCAGTCGGACACCTTGCCTCTTATAGCGCCTTGTCAGTCGTGCCTTATGACTCATTCGTTTCTGTTAATGTGTGGTATGCGCTTAATTTTTGGTTCTTAAAGTAACTGCATAATCATAGTATCTCAAACCTTCATTGATCCTGGTCAGCTTTTCCCAATTTTGTTTGATTACTTTAACTTGTAGGTTAGATGGGTGAGGTTTCATCAGGTGTATCACAAGTTAAATGTTCACGCCTGCAGCTTGATAGTTGAAATTTTTGTTTGTCGGGACGTCACAGATGACGTAGGCGGAGCGAGATTGGTTGGCTATGTCTTATCGCTGCTGTGTTGTGCCTTTGTCAGGTGGAATGGACGACATACTGTCGGGAACTCAAGAGGTGCCTTTAGCTTGTCGTGAGTTCAACCCGACACAGGCACGACTAAGCAGCGATAAGACATAGCCGACCAATCATGCTCCACCTTTTAACCTATGTTGTCTATGTTGTCCCGACAAACAAAAAATTTCAACAATCAGGCTGCTGTTCTTTGAGTACCTCCCAATTTTTGTCTTTTAATGCTCAGATGATTTGCAGAGTTAGTGATAACGGCTTGGGATTTTAAGTTAATACTAATGTCTGATGTCTAAGTTAAACAGAATGCCCAAGACTGGTTTGGGGCTCCCCATTGCCACACTGTTTTGGCATCAGTTAAATAGAATGAATCTTTAACGACTATACTCTGGTGTATCATATTCCTTCTTTTGACAGCCACATTTCCAATCTTCCTCTAAGTATGTAGTTTTAAAGTACTAAGGTGCGTTGTCGAAGTAAACTTTCAGTTTGCGTTGGGTGCTCATCGCTAACAGATATCACGAGAACATTGTCTTATCCGTTGGGAAACCCGTTGTCGGTCGTCTCTTTTCACTAGCTAGACACTCTGACACCGTATGCACATTTACATTTAGAGGTAGCTCAACGCTCTCAACTACCACCTGAGATTGATGACTTGTTGACTTCCTTTGGTAAACAGTCCAGGGCATAGGACAATCTAAACGGATTCGAACAACGTTGAGGGTTTGGAATTGGGTAATTCCGTTGCTCAACGGCCCGAACAGTTTACTTCGACAATGCAGCTTTAGTGATGCTTCTCTGCCTGACCTTGAAATTTTGGAGGAAAGTGTCACAGTCAGTTGAAGTTAAGGCTATTGACAAAAATGAACTTGAATCAAGCAGATAAGTAAGCGTTTCTGTATTTTATGAAGTGTGGAATAATGTCCAAACCCTCTTGAAGTCAGATCTCCTGCACCAAATGTATGCTGTAATTTTTTCCTCTCTCTCCTTCATTTAAGTGTGTGCAAAACTTTAGGTACTGATGTGGTTTTCTTTTTGTTTTATTTTTCAGAGTAAAAACCCCCAAGAGGAAGCGTGCGATCAAGCACTCAATCGCCGTCGGATTAAACAAAGGTCACAAAGTAACTAAAATTCAGTATGCAAAATCCAGGCATGAGAAAACAAAGAAAATTCTTCCATCCAGGTTTAAGGGAGTAAGTATTAATCAAGCTCTCTCTATTTTCTTCTGACACCCAAGTCTCAGAAATCAACATCACTGGAGGAAACATGTAATTCATAGCTGACTCTAAGTTGTCATTGGCGGTATTTTTGAATCACATTAGATTTTTCCTGTTTGATTTGTTTGTAAAGTCTGTGTACTTGTGTACATGGAAGAGAAAAATTTTCGTATTCCTAGATAATATAGACACTATAACTGGGGACAGAACTGAATAAGTAGACAATGGGTCAGTTGAGCTAGTCGCAGAATCATGTTTTGATGCTTGATTCTTATAGACTAACTACAAATAATGAGATCCGCCCTAACTGCAATTCTTTATGTTCAACATTCACAGAGATACTTTTAAAAGTCGGGTTTTTGACGTCATCCACCTTGGTAGTGACACCCTTGGTTTCTTCCAGTTTCGTTTGATTGCAGTGATGTAGAAGGCGAAATGCGTAACTTTAACAACATTAAATGTATACAATCTGTGGTAAACTGACTGACCACCTTACCTCTTTGCGTTGAGTACTTTATTTCCTGATAAGAAGATTCTTATAGAGGGAATCTGTCTGTTTTTTAAGTTTGCTTATGTTGATGCCCTTGAACTTTGCCTTGCACCCTCTGTATCACTGATCAAACGAAAGAGGGAGAAACCAAGGGTGTCACTACTGAGGTGGATGTTGTCAAAAACCCTACTTTTCAAAGCGCAATATCTCTGTTAATATTGAACGTCGAGAGTTGCTGTTTGGACAGATCTTATTATTTTTAGCTGATCCACAAGAATCAATCATCACAACACGATTCTGAGACCAGCGCAACTGACCTATTGTCTCATCAACCTCGATGCATTTATTATCAGTTGACCCATTGGTAACCACTTTCATTTATGTTGAATGGTGCTTTTTTCTAATGTAACATTTGTCCATTCTTTTTATTCCCCAATCCTACCCATGTTATGTCACAGAAAAGCAATGTATATACTTTTTTTTTTTTTCCTACCGGCAGCATGTAAAAAGGATTTATCATTGTTATTGCTGAGGAACAATCTCATGAAACAAAATCGTTAATGAACTATCATTCATACTGGAAACATTTACTCCCGAAAGTACCGATTTTTTTTGCTCTTCGAGCTTTATTGTCTCTGGGAAAGAAATGCCAGTCATCAGACCTCTGAAAAGCCCCTCATATTCTGGGTGAAAAACTGTAGAGATGTTTTTAGAGCCACCTGTAACATATTTTGTAACTACTGATGTTCCCCAATACTGAAATATTGATTACCCAAGTTTTTTGCTTGACTATCGGAGATCTTTAGCCAACATCTTCCTTGCCGTCAAGAAAGGTTATAAAACTTGTTTAAGTGCTGTTGCTGTAGAAGTAGATATAAATCTCTTCCAGTTATTCACTATTAATGTAAGTTTTCAACCATCAACTGAATGTGGAAACTATCCTTTCTGTTGCTCTATTAATCAAATTATTTTGCTTTTTATCTTTCTTATTTTAGATGCAAACCAAACATTCCAAATTTATCAGAGATTTAATCCGAGAAGTAACTGGTCATGCTCCTTATGAAAAGCGGGCAATGGAATTGTTGAAAATCTCCAAAGAAAAGCGGTGTTTGAAATTCTTGAAGAGACGAGTAAGTGTTGTTGATTCATATCCCTGCCGAGTACCTGGCGCAATTATTAATATTAGTAATATCTTTATTTCCTGGGCTGTAGAAAATATGAAGTAGAGTCGCTCTAAAAAACTATCAAGGATTCAGCAGAAATGTATCACTGCACCTTAAAGTTATATTAGAATAAAGCCTTTCTTGTATTAGGAATGCTAAAGTTCTTTTTTCTAAACCCTTCCAGCACATTTGAGTTGTGCAGTAGTACTCAGCAAGTTACACTTGTTGGGTACAATGACTGTATTGACAGTGCCAATGGAAGCAAATTAATGGAGTCAGACATAGCGCTGTTGTTGAACCTCTATCCTTATGTTCTGTAATGACAGTTTGTGTTTGCCTCTGACATACGTCCGATTTTATCAGCTCTCAACCGTGAATGCTGGGCATCAAAGGATTTTCTCCGTCCAAATACGTATTAGTATGGTAGGAAATTGTTTGTGATGAAGGTATCAAATTTCATCGCAGACTTTGAGCAAAGGTTGTCCCTTCCAGCACACTTGAGTTGTGCAGTAGTGTTCAGCAAGTCTAACTTGTCGGGCACAAAGACCGTATCAACAGTGCAAATGGAAGGAGAAAAATGAAGCCGTGCATGATACTGTTATTGAACCTCTATCTTTATGTTCTATAATAACAATTAGTGTACGTCTCCTACACATGTTGGTCCCTTAGGCCTGGTTCTATCACTTTCGTTTAAATTTGACATCTTTATCAAAACAAAACCCTCAATGTCATTTTTGAGTTTGTTCAGTACATTCTATGGTTCGGATGAACAGCTACAGTGGAACACTTTGGGAATTAAAGTGTTGACCTCCGGTTAATTTTAAATAGGTACCTTGAGTTCTTGTTCAATTTTAACCTGAGGATACATCTGCAATAAGAGGTGATAGAACTAGGCCTTAAAATTCGGCCCTTATGTTCCGGCAGATTTTCTGAATGTAAATATTCACTTCTCTCCATGAAGAGAAAAATATTTTGTCTTCAGCAGATAATATCCGAGGCGGCTCCTCGTAAGATCATTGAAGATTCAATGTTAATCAATATGAGCACTTAAGTTTCTCACAACTGAAGCAATATCTAAATGAAGCCACTGGAGGAGCCCCATCACAAATGTGTAATAGTTCCCCCAAATCACTGACCTAACAAGCGCTAATTACACTGATTTTATGAGACTTGGCAAGCTGTATGAATGCACCTTCAAAACAGTAGTTGACTTTTCAAAGTGAAGTCAGTCTCTTCCAGCACATTTGAGTTGTGCAGTAGTACTCAGCAAGTCCAACTTGTTGGGTACAATGACTGTATTGACAGTGCATATGGAAGCAAATAAATAAGAGTCAGACATAGCGCTGTCGTTGAACCTCTATCCCTATGTTCTTTAATGGCAGTTGATGTGTGCCTCTGACATGTGCTTGATCAGATCGTTTCTCAGAAACTGACCACTTAATTTAATGACATATTTTCACAGTAGGAATATTGTTTGTGTGATGAGAAAGTTATTCTTTCTTCATCTCGCATCATAAGGGGTCATCTAGTTAATGCAGGCGTAAATTACAGACTGATGAAAAATGATAAAGCTTATCTTATTTGCTTCTAAAAACGGTCTTTTTTAGCTGATTTGCGATACTATTGGAAGAAAAGTATCTGCATTTGCATCATTCAACCCGATCTTCCCCTGTGATGGGTTCAGATTTCCTCGTTCACACTTTACTTTGGCTTTCCTCTCAATCTCAGGGTAGCGTAATTTTGCATGGTGGTCTTACAGTGAGATTCCAAGGACTAAATTTATCTGAAGTACATCATCTTGGTATATTTCTTAGCTGCTGATCCTCTGAATTGTTGGTGTTTACCTTTTAATTCAGCATGCTAATCGTAATTTTTTGTTTTTATTTTCAGTTGGGCACACACATCAGAGCAAAGAAGAAGCGTGAAGAACTCAGCAACATCTTGATCGCCATGAGGAAAGCTCAAGCACACAAAAACTAATCTGACTTCCTTGTTGTGAATTTTTATACCTTAAGGACTCAAATAAAATTGTTTAAATTTTTACAATCGGTGTTTCGATTTTGTTCCCTCATCCAAGGTATGCCAGAAGACCCTAATTTACATGAGACTGTGTCTCATCTCTTTACATGGAAGTCATTTTTCTCTCTTATCTAAGGTTTTTCTTATGAGCTTTAAATAATTCAAGCATGTATTCGTATTGGAGAAGATGAAGAAATTCAGATTTGCCAACTTTAAATGGTTACTTTGTTTAATGAATCTCCAAATGACAAAAAACTTCTTTGCCCTGCTTTTGAGTACATTTTTAGTTCTCTACCATTGAACAACTTCTTATATGAAAGAGAAAAATTTTGACTTTTTTCTTAAGAAGTTGAAAAAAATAATAATCATAAGTTGGTTGTTTATCAGTATGATGATTAGTATAATGAGTTGGTTGTAGGGAGACTCAAGTTTGACTCTCCTTTACGCTGTAAGGCGGGGAGAAGTCGGAAGAGTTGGCCTCGGGCTGTGGACGTTAGGGACATAATAAAAATAATAATAATCCAGCTTTGAATAAAGTCCGTAGTTTCATATTTTTGTTCGTTGAATGAAAGAAAAATAGATGTTCAGTTCTAAAGGGATGACTTAATCTCTTTTCAAACCACATTTAAACAATAACTTGCTCATTCTACTAAGTTTCCTTTGGAAAATAATCAGTGACGTGGGTGCACATAGATCACCTCTCAATTTCAGTGCTCTACAATTTCTTTACACATTTTCTCTTCTCGTTGAGTTGTGGAAATGTAACTAAAAATGTTAAACGATATCCTCTCCTACCTGAAGGTAAATGGTCCAGTAGTTCAGAAAAAAGAAATTTTCAGTGGTAATTCTGGAACACTGTAACAGAGCAGGGCTCTTTTCGCACCCAAGTCCTTAATCGAGGACCGTATTTAAGGAGTAATCAATGGAAGTTGAGAATGATTCCCTTCTTCTGATCATGAATTTTTGAAATTTCATTTGTGTGGGTGTATGGAAATGCATATTGAGGGATAAAATACCCATTTTTAATGTGAGAGCAGAACTCATTCTCTAATTATTTCTCTTCAGTTTTTCACCCTGAATATCTGACTACTTGTCTACCTCCTGTGGTGTAGTGGTTGTAGCACTTGCTCTATGATTGGGAGGTCCCGGGTTCGATACCTGGCCAGGTGATTCGAATTTGATGGTCTCCAACATCAGGTACCTAGGGTTAGCTTAAGTAGGGACGGAGGGGAATGGGGCTGTAGGGATGGTAAAGAGCAGGATTACCCCTTGTGGGATATTTAAAGTGTTAACAACAAAAAAAATTTATTTATTCGAGACACTATTTTAAATTCCATATTCGACTTGTCAGAGGGAGTAAAAAATTGATGAACGGAATAAGCTGTCAAAAAAAGGGTAGTTTGTTGGTGACAAGGATTATCTGGACTCTTTGATGAGTGAAACTCTAGTAACTTTCAAACCTATGCACTTTCAGTGTGGGTATTGATGAAACCGAAGAGTCTAATTTTTGACATTTCAAGGGGAAAGTCAAAGAACGGAAGCATGTACATTACGAACGAATGAAAGTTGGAAAAATATTAAGCTTCCTTAACTTGCAAGCAAACAAGCCATTATTTAAACAAATATTCACTACCGTGCATAGAGGAGGAAATAATTCATTTCAGCATTATTCCCTCAAAACTATTTACTATTTGGCAACTTCTCAGAGGGCACGGTTGGGCCAGTGATTAGATTTTCTAAATATCGATAGTGAAACTACAAAATATCTTATCTCAGTTGTTGTGTTTCGAACTCTTCGCTCCCATTTTATTATTTAAATGGAGACCAAACCAACAGTATAGCAAACAATTTTCACAGAAAGACATATCTTTTTGAACTGAGATTTGTGGTATTAAACAGTGGCGTGGTGTGAATTGCGATATATCGATTGTTGTGCCATTTAAACCCATGAAAAAAGATCGATTATCAGGGTGTTCGCAGCGAACACCTTAGTAATCGATTCTTTACCATAGCTTCAAATGGCGATATATCGATAATCGATTATTCACGCCACGCCACTGGTATTAAATGGATCAGTCGTAACATCTACAGCCACAAACTGGGGCAAAAAGGGTCAGCAAACATGCTACAGACAGCTCCTCGAAGTAGTTTTTTAGAAAAATTGATGTTTTCACCTTAAATTTTTAAAAGAAGAAAATTGGGGCAAATTAACTAGAAGGAAAGAATAATGCAAATTATAACCAAAAAAAAACTTATGTCAGCATAGGCAAAAATAAATATTTCAGCAGAGAAAGCTGCAATGCTTCTAATCATAGAGGTTGCCATGGTGTGTCCAACAAAGGGTTAAGCTTGCGTTCAGAATTTGAAATAATTTATGTAAGTTCTCACTTCAGCAAAATTTAAGACAAAATGAAATCAAGACTGCTTAATTTCATAAGATTCACTATTGTTCAGGTCAAAGATGCAATCCTGATTTACTAAGTTGACCCATATGATTGCATGTTAAGTTATCTAATTAGAGATGATGATTGAATAAAGGAGATTAACACTTCAAAAAAGAACAGAAAACTTTATTTTGGGCTTAAAAATTAAAATAATATCAATGTTTCACTTACTTACAAAGGTTTTGCTCCCGAATAAATGCACAGTAATGTCTAGAAAAATGCACACTGTCACCTCATCATTACATGAACATAGCAAGAACTCATTTGCTGATTGAGGTCATACCTTGTCTATAGAATCATTGTACACATTGTCAAACTGTTTTTCTGTCTTCTTTTTCCCCAGTTATGACAGCTTTCCATTTGATAAAGTATCCAAATACCAACTGAACGTTTAAATAATAACTAAATCCATTGACCAATTTGCTGTGGAGGGATTCCTCTTAGAAAATGAACTGTGCGTACTTTTCTGAAGATTATTTTCAGAGATAAGAGACCCTCTACTGGCCTCTTGGCGACAGGTGGAAGCTTTTACTTTCGGGGATTCAGCAATTCCTTATGGACAGTTATAAGGGAGCAACAGTCATCACTCATATTTCCGCTGTTGACCTACCTGCATGGTGGATGAAGAGCTTTGGGTAACGTCATGAGCCAAACAAGTTTCCCAAACTTTGGCTTGTTTGCAAAACGAAATTGCCAACTCGTTGTTAAACATCAACCATGTAGGTAAGTCAACAGTAGAATGCTGAAGTCCTGAAAGTAAAAGCTTCCACCATTGCCAAGATACCGGTGGAGGGTCTGTTGTCTTTGATTATTTTACATTATTCTTATGATTAATCTTGTTTAATTGAGAAGATACATCAATTGCTGAATTATAGAACACAGGTTGGAGGATAGTTGCACTTCTTTGAATCCACGATACCACATGAAGGGTTATAACTTTTACAGAGTCCTGCTTCCTTGCTGCCATGTTATTCCAAGTGATCATTGGAAACCGAATTTCATATTGGTAGAGAATCTCCTGCATGAAATGACAAGAGATTATTGAACTGGAAGATCAGGACCAAAATAAAATACTGCAAGCCATCAGCACACATGAGATGGCGACATAAGGACTGAGCCGTTCACCTACTCTTGCAGCTTTCCAAAATATCCCTGACACTCTGAAACAAACAAATATTTTCGTTAAGAGAATGACAGGCATACGAACCATAAGTTCTCTTTTATCTGCGGTGATGGAGACCAGAATATTGTGAGCGGTATATATTAAGAATAATCCAGAATTACCAAGCATGACTTGTACATGACCTGGGAGTCAAACTTTTTTCGATAAAAAAACTATCAAAGTAAACAATTTTACCGAAAACAACAAAATTTACCTCAAACAATAAAAATTCATCTCTTATAGTACTTTGGATTAGAAGAAACTTGACCTACCACCATGTCAAAAAGAGCCCTCTAGTCCACCGTAGATGGTACAAATCATGGATAGTCTAAACCTTAAATAGTTCACTACTCCTCTGATATAAGAGCATAACTGCATTTGGAGAAGAACCCTGTCATCTAAGTTATGTACGTAATGCTTTTCAGGGGTCTTATCAAAAGTGAGATTGATAAGTTGAGCTCGAGAATAAAAATTTCATAGGAAAACACGAAGTTTAAGAAATTCTATTCTTCCATAAAAACATTAGAACTGATTTTTCAAAATTATTCTGTCAGTAGTGTGGTTATTTACAAGATCTTAATGTCTCATTATCTCTTGGACAAGGAGGACAAAGCTTCATAGATTGATGGTGAGAGAGCATGTTATGTTAGTACTTGTTCAAAAAATAGTTCAAACATGAAATTTAAAAAAAAAAAAAAATATAACATGTTTTTACAAAGACAACTTTCTAGTTAATATTATTTTTGTATCCAATTTGAAAAACTCCGAACAACCCCTCCCAATTGTGAGGAGAGACTCTGAAGGAGAAGATTATTAGCCTCCCAACATGCGCCTTGAAAGCAATGAAAACTGGAAGCCTGAATAAATTACTTATGATTTGCTGTATTGGCCATCAAAAATGATAATTGAAATAAACTAGCAAAAGTCAAAAATATGTCTCAGCGAAAACTTACCCGACTTTATGCCGATCAAGAATGCTTGGAAACAGTGATCTAAGGTAGGCGCAGGTGCAGATGAATAATAGGATAACAGTCAGTAAACTTTGGAAGTTGAAAAGGGCAGACTGAAACATACAGTAGAAATAGTAAACTTTTCAATTAAAACATGGCGAGTTGTGTTGAGGGGGTTACTGTGATTGGCTAACATAACACTGTTTCAGATAATATGAGACATACCTCCGTATCCTTTCAAAATAAAATATAAAAGACCAAAGGTGAATTCCATTTACTCAGAAAATTCTGTTGAAAATTGCTCTCCTAGTGTGCTGTACCGAGATATTTTGGAACTGAAAACTTTATTTAAACGAAACAATTTGTACCAGATAAAATTTATAGGTTGCTTGGCTTTTGCGATTTGATTGTGGGTTTTTCTTTTTAAACCCTAACGAGGTGCAATGAGAGGGACAACAGACGTCCACAAAATAAACTGGGCTGGTTGAAGAGATAGAATTACATGGTAGACGAGTGTGTACCTAATTGCTTTTGAGTTCACTGACTCAAGAGAGAAGCTACATTATCTGTGGTTGAGCATAAGGCGGATCTTGTACAATTTCTGCACCTGGGCAAAGGCCATGCCAATTGATACGGGAGTAGTCTGTGTGACTAAGAAATTCCGTCAAATTAGCAGATTAGTAAAAGTGGAAAAACTTGACTATTGCACGACTAATTTAATTCCGAGCAAAGGATGAAGTCGAAGTGTAAGAGAATGAGGTGGCACATCTTTTCATTTATGTTCACTTACCATTTTGAATGCTTTACTATGAATCGGTATAGATCACGACATGGATAAGGAATGCATATAAAAGTGAGATAATAGTCTAGCTACTAATTTAATTTCTCAAGGAAAAATTCAACACCACGATAGATCATAATCGGGAATCATAATGCTAAAAAATTGTGTATTTATGAGCACAACTGGCACAACCATGCACAACGCACAACCCAACTCATAACAAAAGAACATAACCTAAAATCTGCCCCTACGACGTTGCCTGATTGCTGTAAACAAATGTAAATACGTTTTTGGTAAATACACACGCCATTCCCGCCATTTCCCTTCCCCCACCCTACCCTGTCCACCATTCCACCATAACGAAGATAATTTAATTTTTCCAGTTTTCCTCCTCGTGATTTTACGAATTTCCAGGTTTGTACTCTGAATTTTCTGCAGTAATATGTGTGCGCTTATCTCTTTTAGAAATTCAAAATTTACTAATGTGATTCATAGATACTGTCATCCTATTTTCTTCAGCTCAGAGTTCATGTGCTGATTCATCGAGTCAAATCACGTTTTTCATACCAAGTTAGTTTTCCGTTTAGAGCTTAATTTATCCATCTTGATATTTGCATTTATCGTTACTAAGTTGAGGATTAACGTAAGTTAACACTGGGAAAACTAAAATTGCGATGGTTTATGGAATACTTACATTGATTCACAGAGAGAGAATCCCTGAATCCTGACGTAACAGATCCTCTGTCTCTGCACATGTAGATTCATTTTGGTTTCTGTTGGATCTGGAGATAAGGATGAGATGCAAGAGGAAATTGTCCATTTTAGTAAGAGAGTGTAGGATCTTTCCTTAGTGAACTAAAATAACGGAGACTAAAGTTGAAGAATCTATCCTATTCATGATGACTGTTGCCTTCAGTAGGTATTTGAGTGAGGCCATTTGACAAGGTAACGCAGCAAAACTTGATGCAGTAGCTGTAGGCTGTAGGTACAGACTAGGTACGGTCAGACCTGGAGTGGTGAAGTCTTGCAGATTATATGTAGAAATGGAATGGTTGCATGATATTTGCCAACACCTCTTTGGTGTGCCAAAATTATGCTTAGGTACTGGAAAATTAAAAACTTTTAAAGTGACTGAAAGTAACATCTAGTTCATATACTTACTAAAGAATGACAAACATAAAGAGGAATACAGAAGAAATGCCAAAGATAGATGAAATACTGTATGAGAGATTACAGCTACAAGCCAAAGCATGGCACTTTTACGTCTGAAATCAATTTCAGTTGAAACACACGTCTAAGAAGTGGCTGGGAAGGTTCAGAAGAATCCCGGGTGGCGCGATAAAAAAATCTAGAGCCCCCTGCTTGCTCTCTCTCTGTGTCCGTGGAGGTTGTTCACAGACACAAAACTATTACAATTTAGCCAAAAGAGATGGAAATCATTTTTTGAGGAGTCTGTTTTCTACATTGCTGTCAAGAAAATTTGCTCCATATAGGAACCAATGTTTCAAACATGATCAGGTGTTCCCCACCGCATGGGTGGAATTGTCTGAGGGCGATCCAGATGGTCACATCCAAAGAGGGTCCATGTCGCAAGTGGCAACGATCGCGATAAATAGAGATTTTATCGGTTGGTTATTGCGACGATTATATCGGTGGCAATGTATCAAGATATTATTGCATTAAAAACTGTGATATATGGTGATTAAATTGCTACACATTGCAATTTTTGGTTCGATAAATTGCGATTTTATCCGACAAGATTAAGGATAATTGCTCTGTTATTAATGATCCTAGCGATTTTATCACCGATAAAATTGCAGTATATCCAGAGATTTCTGTTAAAAAAATGCTACCTTCTTGGAGTAATCTCTCCCAGTTCTGGAAGGGAATAAGTTAAGGAATTCCTCCCTTGAAAAATTGTGATAAGTGTTGACCTCCTCAGGATGCAATCTTAATACACTAAGTAAGCAGGCATAAAATTCCTCAAAGTTGATTTAGAATTGAGTTATCCTTATTTGACTACATTTTGTATCAAGGAACTATATTATTTTTGGCTCATCCATGAAAGCTTCTATTTTTTTTTTTTTTTTTTAGGTTGTCAAATTTTTAGGGAGAATTTTTTAGGATAGGGCCGGGGTGGCTACCGCCACCTGGAATCTGCATATGGACTATGGGAGCACATACATTGTTTCTGAACTGAGCCTTAACAATTTGCTCACCAAATAGTGCTTCCTACACCGCATGAAGTAGAAAAGCTTAGATTAAATTACACTGGAGATTAAATGATAATTGCAGGGCCAAATGGTATTAAGGGGAGGGGGCAGCCTTTCAAAATTCTTTCAAGCCCCCTTCTTACTCCAAATTTCATAGTTTGCATTTCTGTTTAATTACTTCCACTGTGAGTGTTAGATATGTTGCCCGTGTACTATTTGAAGGGGATTTTCTTGTTGAAAATTTTAATGAAATCTAAGAAAGCTGCTATTTTTCCTTGCATTGCAAGTGTCTCTAATATCACTCATTTTTATTGATTGTTAAATATTTGCAACTATCAACCAAATGATGTGAAAAAAATGCTATTTAGTTGCATTGAATGGTAATTTATCTAATTCCGTTTTTGTTGCTGATTGTTCCTTGGGTCATAGTTTTGCCCATTCATTTGCGGATATGACTTTCTTTGGCTGAAATCAATACAATTTAAACACCTTAAGCTGCTAGTTTTAAACCTAAACCGACTTTGTACTCAAGTTTTATTCGCAATGTGAACTGCACTAGCTTCAGAATTTAATATTTTTTGTAAAAACTCTTCAATCAACACATGAGAAACGTAGCTTAATCGAAAAATGGCAAGCTTATACCTATCTTGCCGGTATAAAATATAATGTTGAGCTGTAGCTTTGCCAGGCACTGGCACATGACCATTTAACACCCCTGCTCCTGTTCTATGATTATTTCACCAGTAATGCCTTTCTACCAATTTGTTAATGGACTTAATTCTTTTTTTTCCCCACAGGAGAATGGATATTTGGTCCATTGGTTTAAGTGAGGTGAAGAAAACGCTCGAAGAAAAAGTAGACAAATTAATTAATGCCACGCAATATGGTGAATTTGCTGAGATCCTGAAAAACTCAACCGGGGTATTAGTTGCTGTAGCAAATATTTCTCACACAATCTCGTCTTCTGGCTCGCACAGCAATTATGTGCTACAATGTGTCCCCCAAGTTTTCGAACAAGGAATCGTAATTTTGGACCATGTTTCTCACTTGCAGGTCGATTGTGTGCCAGGAAAAGTTTCAGAAGGTATGTGTAAACCATTTAAGAATTCTGTCTACGAGTCATCATCTTCCGGGCGGAAGTGCCTACTTATTACAAGCTTAATTTATGCATGAATGCCTTGTTGCCGGACATCCCAACTTTGTTTTAAGTTTCTCTTCAAAACATTTGCACTTATTTCCATGAAAATTTCAGGAAATTACCTGTATTTGAAAAGAAATATTAGATAACATTTTCAAGTGATTCTTTCATGAGTTTTTCTGTAAAAAAGTGGACGAATTTGAGGAGTTTGCCAACCTAGTGCCTTAACGGCACATAGGCAAAAGGATAAAAAATAAGAAGGTAATAGTTAAACAAGTTAAAAACAGAAAATTTCAGAAAATAAATGTTTAAATTGTAACAACAAAATTTTCTAAAAAACAGTAACATCAACAAAACTGACCCTCATAGTGAGAAGGTAACACTTGATAGAACTGGGAACTTGTAGTATCATGATACCTCAATTAAAAGACAGGATCAGGCCCTTCATGGAGTTTTCAAAAAAGTTATATTGCTGCGATTCTACAAAAAACACGAACTTCTTTGTGTATTTTGCAGTGACACCAAATTTGAATGCTATTTGCAAGCTGGCTTTTCCAATTTTCACTTTTCTACGCAAGGGACCACACAATCATGATCTCATGATCGGGAAGTTCTTTTACCCTTTGTATTTGGGTAGTAATTTTGTGTTTTTACTTTGAGTAATTGCTTACCTACACAAGTTTTTTTGCAGTTAAAATTGTACTCATTTGTCTCTTTTCAGATGCACTTGCCCAATTGCGTCAGATTCTCACTGATATTGCCCCATCACTGGTGCCCTCTGCTCTTACTATACAAAGTATGAACCTTGCTCTTCTGCCCAGTTGCCGTCAGAAACTTCTCTCTCATGTAAGTGATATTGAAGGAATCTTCAAGTACATCCCGCCGCTTCTTGAAAATTTCCACAATGCATTTATAGTCTGCCAGGGGCAAAGTAAATTTATTGCCTCAGAATTCACCCGAGTTTCAGCCCTACTTTTTGATGTGCTAGGGCAACTCCAATCGAAAGCTCCTTTGTTTTCTACCACTGATTTACACCTTAAAACATTGTTTTCAGTTCTGCATGTCCCATTTCAAACATGTTTAATCTCTCTTCGTCTTCTCTTCTCACTTCCGTTGCTTGAAACAAAATTTGAAACAGTCTTCAAAGCATGTGCTCATGCAAAAGAAATTTACATTCTTGCAACAAACATCTTGAAGACATTATATTTGCTTTTTCTCAGAAATATCCATGAGCCAGTCAAAGATGATCTCATCAAAAGTATTCAGAATGCTCAAGATGTTTGTAAAGGTTCCCCTTTCAAGAGTTGTTTGACATTTAACTTAAACGACAAACCAACCATTTACCCCAAAAGCACTGCTGATGCTCCCAATATGCAGTGTGCTTCTAATAAACTAGCAGTAAAGAAAACTAAAAAGAAAACCACTGCTTTAGAGCATAGTTATGCAAAAGCTGATGCTCCCAATATGCAGTGTGTTTCTAATAAACCAGCAGTAAAGAAAACTAAAAAGAAAACTGAAAAAAGAATTGTATCATCGCCAATGAAAAAGAAAAGAGATCCTGTAAAACAAATCTCTTTAACAGAGCTGAAAAAGTATCAAGCAGGGGGCATGAGCATGTCTTTAAGGAATGATGTCAAGATTAATGAAAATGATAGTGTAGGAAACATGAAAGATCATGGACCAGGATTTGAAAGCAACACGATTTCAAACCGCTTTGAAAGTTCGACCATCCAGACTGAAATTTCTGATGTGAAGATCATTGGACCAGTTTGTAACCCTGAAGTACTGTCCAGTGCAGATCCTGATGATCTCATCAAAAGTATTCAGAATGCTCAAGATGTTTGTAAAGGTTCCCCTTTCAAGAGTTGTTTGACATTTAACTTAAACGACAAACCAACCATTTACCCCAAAAGCACTGCTGATGCTCCCAATATGCAGTGTGCTTCTAATAAACTAGCAGCAAAGAAAACTAAAAATAAAACCACTGCTTTAGAGCATAGTTATGCAAAAGCTGATACTCCCAATATGCAGTGTGTTTCTAATAAACCAGCAGTAAAGAAAACTAAAAAGAAAACTGAAAAAAGAATTGTATCATCGCCAATGAAAAAGAAAAGAGATCTTGTAAAACAAATCTCTTTAACAGAGCTGAAAAAGTATCAAGCAGGGGGCATGAGCATGTCTTTAAGGAATGATGTCAAGATTAATGAAAATGGTAGTGTAGGAAACATGAAAGATCATGGACCAGGATTTGAAAGCAACACGATTTCAAACCGCTTTGAAAGTTCGACCATCCAGACTGAAATTTCTGATGTGAAGATCATTGGACCAGTTTGTAACCCTGAAGTACTGTCCAGTGCAGATCCTGATTCTGGTACCAATAATCCTTTGCCATTGAGTGAGAGCAAAGATAGAACAGACTGTATCAAATCAGGAAATATGGAAAGTGAGAGCCATTTAAAGACAAAGGATCAAGTGATGGAAGACTGTATCAAATCAGAAAATATGGAAAGTGAGAGCCATTTAAAGACAAAGGATCAAGTGGTGGATATCAGCATGCGCAATAATGCAAGAAACAATGATGACAACTTAAAGACGGACGGAAACGTTAGTGTATCAAATGAGGAAGATGGGACACCAGAAACAGAACACTCAAAACTAGGGAACAAGGAAGAGGAGAAAAAAAAGAAAACCAGTCAAGTGGTGAATATTACAATCAACTTGACTTCCAATGCTGACTCGAAGAACAGCGATGGTACAACGAACAGCACCAAGGTTCCAACAATCTCGATCGAAAGCTGTAAAACAGTGCCCAACGACTGTACCTCAGAAATTCAGCATGTGTCTAGTTCTGAAGAAGATGAAACCAAGCAACCTTGCGAAATCGTGGCGATAAAGTGTTCGGAAGAAGGATCCCAATGTGAGCCGAAGGCTAACTTCATCAAAAGGTCAGTTATCCATACTGAGAGTCTTGATATAGAGGTCAATGTACAAGTCATCGGTGCAGAACTGTTGTGTGACGGCAAGTCTCTTAGGGATGAACCCATGTCATCAATCGACAGTGCTAAATCAAGCATGAAAAATACTTCAGTCGACCCGGAAATACCGTCTTCTAATGAAGTGAATTGTAACACAGCTACTTTTCCTTCAAGTAATTCCTCCACAAATAATCTCTCTGTGGATTCTGATGTGTGGAGCATCCTGCTGAGGCATGTATCTGAGGTAGAGCTTACCTCACTGAATGGAGATCGACAACAACTTCTTTCTTCTTTAATAACTCAAATGAAGCCTATACTTAAAGGATTTTCTTTCATCGTTTGTGAGTCACAGTTGTCAGTATTGTGCAAAATTTGCGGCTTGTCAGTGAACGCAGAGGATATCAATCAAAACATTAACTTGATATTTTTCCATCACAAGTACCATAAAACTAGACGTAATCTAATGACTCAGTACAATCCTTCTCATCCTTTATATAAATATACAAAAAGTTACAATAGAGTTTGGATAAGAAAAACGCAGCAATGAATTCACTGAGGCATTTAATGAAAGTTAACATCTCAAAATTTCCATATTTCGTCCGTTTTCATGTGTAAATAATATTTTTGAAAGTCAACTGTTTCATGTTGTCTTTGAACTAATACAGGCATGGTTCCATATTTTTGAGAACATGAATAGAGAAAAACAAATTTATTAAATTTACTGCTTTATTTTTTCTCAAGCTAATTTTCGAGAAAAAATCCTACCCGTTTGTACACCTGTCTCAATATTTAACTTTCTGATTGAGCTGGAACTTTAGGTATCCCCTTGTTTTGGAGTGAAATTATTGAAATCCAGCCAAACTAAAAATCTTGAGATTAAATCGTACTTCAGTAATTAAATTAAAACTTTAATGTTTGACAAGCTCATGTAATCATTGTGATGTTCTTCAAATCTTTATTGCTTTGTTTAAGTTTTCATTTGTAAGACTGATATAAACTTCTAGAAGATCAGAGGCTGTTTTTTCTAAACTTCAATCTTATTCATAATATTTGCGGTAATGTTAGCAAGAAATCTTGTGTTTATGCAGCTACTTTAGTTATCATTTCAATTGAGTTTTAGTTTTTCTTTGTTTTCTAGTAAGTAAGGAAATATTTTTTCACATGTTTCCGTTATCTTTAGAATTATGTTTGTAGGAGTTGATAATTTTCTGAATCAAAATGTCTTTGCTATCTATCCTAAATATTTTTGCTCACTTTAAAGTATGCTTGCTGTTTCAGTAGAAACCATTTCAGCTAGCAGGTTTTTAAAGACATTTTTGTCAAATAAATGTTTAAGGAAATAATAAAGTATTTTATGTACTCCTGCTTTCCATTGGTCTCTATGCATGTTTTTTTCTTTTCTTTTTTTTCTCTTCAATTCATGAGAAAACCTCAGGAGTATATTTTAATTGAGAATGTTCATATATTATGCTATGAAATTCAATATTTATAGTACTTACCTTTATGAGTACTTACTATTGATGCTTATTTTGTTTCTCATGGATGACATGACACTTCATCAAATTGTATTTTTACCTATGCCATTCAGGCTATGATGTGCAAATCTTGTCTTGGAAGTTCAAAGTAGTCAAAAAGCATTACATGTTATAGTCTTTTGACTTTCCTATTAGCCTTTATTTACCATTATATACCATTTTACTGCCATGCCAGGGAAAAATGTTGTATGAGCACTTGGTGGTTACAAAATTTCATCTGATGAAAGATTAATATTTTTGCTTAATTATTCTGAGGAGTTCATTCAAAATCTAATCCAGCATATCTGAAAATTTTAAGGAAAAATATCCAAAACAGTTCTGTAAAATTGTCATATTATCAGACGAAATTTGGCAACATTTAAGTGTTTATACAGCGTTTTTCCTTAAGACGGCAGTGCAACTCACCATTAGTTTATAAGTTTTTCTTTTGTGATAATGTATATAACAATTTGTTTCAATCTGGAAAATTATTTTTATTCTTCCAATGTTTAGAAATATTTTTAGTTAAGGATAATTTTCATCGTTCTTAAAAACCTTTGGTGCTGCCTTTATTGTTGCCTTTTAAAATTATGTATATGAACCTCAACAGTTCAAAGGTTATGTCTCAACTTGAAATATTACATGTATTTTCCCTCACTATTTATGTTTAAACTCTTAGCATTGAACAAAGAAGTGATCGTGCAAATTGATCTCCTCCACTTTTTTAATAGTATGATCATCGGTGAACTTATTATCTTTAGCTAAACGCAGGTACTATCCCATTTTATCATATTTGTGCTTTCTAGCTTTCCTCTATCCTCTTGTGTTTTCCAAATGTCAAATCATTTCTGAATTTTCATCTGGGACCAATCACATTGTGCTATTGTACTGTTGTGTTTAAGCTGAATGCAACCTCATTTTATACATTTACAACAGCTCATTTCATGTTCTTTTTTTAATATTCATCAAATTAGTAAGTTTGACTGATTTATCTAAGAGAATTTAATATTTTCTGTTTCCTTTTTTTTCTTATTTGTATTGTAAATCGTACGATTGCCTCTCCAAAATTGTTCAATATATTCCTTCATTTCCTTAAATTTAATCTCAGTCTTTTTTTGTCAACAACAAGAAACAAGGGAGAAAACCCTGAAATTCATAGTCATCTTCCCTCTGATCGATTGCGATGAGAAGATATACCTTGATAAGTTAGTTAAAGTTTTTGAGTCATACTTTCCCATCTTTGTTTCTGATTTTTGATCTGTGAAAAGTTCACAACCTGCCTTAAAAACATCAAGTGGTAAACAACTCATAACTTTGGATTTAATTGCTTTGAATGGCAGACCATTGCAAGAAATCATTTTTCTATTTGTTTCCGAACTTCCTGTCTGAATAATACTCCTCTAGTCAAATGAGAAAACTATCATCACTAACATCATCATTATCAGGCTAAGTGTCGTTAGCTCTAAAATTGAGTTAGGAGTGGCAATTTACTCTAATAAGTACCAAGAAGAACATGCTGCAAAATGGGCTTAGTGCCATCAGTATTAAAGTAACTAGTGCACTGTCTGAAAGATAGAATTATCGGTGTGCCACATTAGTTGTCAGAAAAAAAAGTGTGACTAACTTTGGCACATACTGTGTTATGACGATTTAGTCTTCAATTTTTTGTGAACTCCAGGAGGACATTTGTACCTAGACTGAGTTTGACAATAAGGAACCAAGCCTCATTTCTTTGAACCATAGAAATAAATCTTTCTTCTCCCATGTAGGGAGTTGAAATTTCCTCTTTCATAAGACCAGATGTAAAAAATGAACTTTAAGTCCATGTCTTGGCTCCTAAATTCTTCTGATGAATTGTGATTTTATGACAGGGGATCTTGAGTCACCCATGAAGCTCCAAATAATTCAATACTCTACAGTCTTTTGAAGGTGCGACTTGTGATTCTGTTCTACTTAACTCCTGTCCATTTCGTGGAAATATCCCTATTTTACCTCTCATTCCTCTTTTTGTGGAACTAAAATATCAGAGGCAGAAGTATGCAACATCACGATGCTGTTGATTCATGTTTTACATCCAAAATTTTGTCCAGCATTCTTCTTCACTTAGCATGCTTTCCTGATTCTTAATTAAAAGCCAATTTGTTTTTTGAACTATGCAAGTTTAATGTTTTCCGTACCTAAAAAGATAGAAATGAACAAAGTTGCTTTCCAGTATTGGTTTTCTCTCATCATTTTTCCAGAAGATTAGACTAAAATGAAAATTAAGGAGTTTTTTTCATTGGTTGCCAGTGTAAACTTGTTTTAAGATAGTTCCCTCTGTAACCGACCCCCGGTTTTTTTTTTTTTTTTTTCATTTTTTCTCGAATAGAAACTTGAAAACATGTCTTGGTGGAAGCTACTCTTGAAAATACTGAAATTTTGGCAATTTTGTAGAGACTGATTATTCAACTTGCTCCCTAATAAATGGGGTACTTGGAAGAAAAGTGGAATAAGTGCAGTTCTAAAATCATTGAGTTATTAATGATGCTAACTTCAGCTAAACGAGGATGATAAGAAAATGCATTTTATTGATAAATGTTGAGAATCTAAAGAGTAGTGGAAAATATTGAATAAAAAGGTAACAAAAAAAATTCTACAACAGATGAGAAATTACGAAAAAGGCAAACTATCTATCTATGATGTATATCAAGCAATTAAAATGGAAAAAAACAAACTCTAGAGAAATATTTCAGCGTTTTAAGAGCGTCTAGAAAAGTAAAAAAAAAAACGTATAAAATTTTAAAACAAATAAAAAATGGAAGGTTTTATGAAAGTAACTACATACCGAGAAAGTATTGTGAGACAGTGAAATATTGCGCGAATTTTAATAGGATTTGGTGTTTTTGCAAATAAAGAGTGATATACTAACCCCCTGTCCCTCATGGTAATGCTGGCTCATTCCTCTGCTTTTACAGTGTTTCACAATTTATGAACGCTCCCTCAGTTGAGAAAATGTTTCCCACATAAAGAGCCAGCAAAGAGAAAAAACAAAAAGAAATAACATCAGCTTTGGAGCTTCAGAGGGATCTAATACTTCGGAAGCACTTAATCTTGGTTCCCAAGTATCCCAAGCCACAAAAATCATGAAAGCACTACTGATTTAAAAACAGGACTATTTTGCCAGAATTTTGAGGCCCTCCCTCCCCCTCTCACCCATTAACCTTTAGATTTTTTTGCATTGCTCGACTAAATATCCTCCTATTTTATCACCATTGATGAAAAAAAAAATCAATGTCAATGATATTTATGAATTAGAAAATTTACTTTCCACGTGATTATTATCATCCTGGCATGTCGCTCGCTCTCTCAGGGTCCGTCATTTTGTAATTGGCGCCAGAATTTTGAAAACCGCGCGACGACAATGCTTTCAGCTGAGGTACAATCATTCTGACAGTGCTGCTCTCCTTTTGTGGCAAAATAAGGAACTTATTTTCTAACCTTTAATAATTCCAGATCCAGAGCAAAGCATGGTTTGTTATCGCAGTTTTTTCGTACATTGATAATGCAAAATCCGAGTTTGAAATGATGTTGTGAAATAATTTCCCTCTTTATTTTTAGAAGTTACCATGTCCAAAGCTATTAATCAAATGCATATCGACGTGTGGAAAGGTGACTGGGGATTGCCAACCATTGATATCGAATGTCTCAAAACTTTGGTAAGTTTGTGGGAACTTTACTGTAAACACACTCGGTTTCTCCTATTCGTCTCGAATTCACAAATGTCTGGAATAATCCCCTTCAAATCTGCATGAAAATCAGGTTTCGGTTGACAGCTAGAAAGTGATGTTGAAGTCCCCTAGTTTAAGCACATTTGCACACCAGGATGCAACTTCTCACAGAGACTTCTCATCCGCTCTTGGTGTATTTCGTATTTATCATATCAATCAATGTTTTCATCTCGTTTTCCGATTGGTACCCGGATGCATTTGAGTAATGTGTTCTTACTCTACTTCTGTGGCCTAAAATCTGCGAGTCTTCGACCAACAGACATTGATAACTAACAAAGTAATACAAGATTCCAGGCCTGATCAGCCGAGAGCCTCTACATTGTGAGCATTGAACAACCCCTATGATGTGGAGGCATAACGACGGCGTAAGTCTGCTATCACATATCTTGTTTGCGGTGTCTGAAAATCTCTGTCTCTACTTTATTTTTTCAAAGGATCACAAATTAACATCATTCCTGGAAGTTTTTGCAAAATTTTCTTCGCTCCAAGAAGAGAAATCATGGCAGTTACAAGAATTGCCGTTGAGTAATTTTCCGTTTAAACAATAAAGTATGACAGGAAGTCTGCGACGTCGCAAACCGAGTTATGTGATTGCCGACTTACACTGTTGATATGTACTATCGGAGATTACACTGCCATGAAAAATGTAACAACTTAGCCATTCATTGTGTCTTATACTCCCAGTTCATTTCTCTTATACCCAGGTTACATGCGCAACGCACACTTTTTGGAACGATATCCCAAGTTAGGATTAGAATTTAGAAATTTATTTTTAAAAAAGAAATATTAGAAATAAAATAAGGAAGTAATGAAGGAAGGCAGTAGGGGAAAGCTCTGTCATCGCGAGAACTGATCTTCTACTCATGTTTGAGGTTTTCTTTCACTGATTTCAGACTTTTATCAAATTTGCTGGTGCTCCAGTTTGCGTCAATAAAACAAGCAATCCATTTAAAACTCCTAATGGTGCTTTACCAGTATTCAGACACTGCCACACTGTCTTGACTAGTTTTGAAGAAGTCTCCGGGTATTTGCAAAAACAGGTTCGTAATTTTTTCCATGCACTTATTTATGATTAGCCCACACAAGTCATTCAGCAAGTCATTTATAAGGTTGAAAAAAATGCATTAATTGCACAATTTTATGAGATTCTAAAATTGGAAAGCCTAATGTAACATGCTTTTTTAGTGCAAAAGAATTTAAGTTAACAGCTTACCAAAAAAAACTTCTGATGCTTCCATTGTCTACAATTGTAGTGACCATGGGCTCTTGGATTCAATCTATCGCGCTCTTATGTTACCTCTTGCATCTTGTCTATGTTTCTCTTCTTTCCATCCAATAATAGAGATGAACATGTGTCCAATAGAACATTGTATTTTTCACCAGGCAGGATCTATGATTTTGCGGCTCCTGAGTTTTGAAAGTTTGGGTCTTTCTCCATTTTTGCTTCTCAATTTGTGATTTAACAGTCTCACTGTATTGCAAGATTCACTAGATTGAAAAGAAAAAAAATTGGAAAATGAAAGAAAATTCATCACCTTTGAGATCCTCCACTTCCAATTTGCCATTTGCTATAAGAAACAAGTGCAATGCACCCCTCCTACAAGTACAACGAGGCATGCACATGCCCTCTACTAAGTTGCAGTCGCAACCTAGTTAATGAGATATAACGGTCAAGTTGGAGGAAAAGTGATTCATAATGGATAGACAGAGCTGATGGTCTCTTAGTCGTTATAAGCCAGGCTGTCATGATTTTAACTAAATAGAATCCATCTAGTAAATTTTTTGTTCCGAACACTGTTCATTTTTTTCTGAGCCCTGCAATAACCTGAAATGGCGCTCTTGAACTTACAGCCGACCACAAAATTGTCAACAAAATCTGCTTCCATTACGCACAAACTATGAGCACCAAGAGAAGTGCTGAATAGAACCAGACACAAAAAATTGAAGACAGTCTTATATCCATGTATTTTACCCACCAATCAAGTTATCTCTAACTTTTTTTGTTCCTTTTTTCAGAACTACAGTCCAGACCATAACCTTAGTCCAAAAGATTGTGCTGAAATTCTTGCTTATTCTCGACTCATGAGAGAAAAACTTTACCCAGCTCTTCAATACATCTGGTAAGATTCAACCACTTGGTCGTAAAAGGAATGTTTAAAACTATCTTTCATTAACCAGCTGGAGTGTAGTTATATAGTAACAGCTGTTTTAAGCTCTTTAAACGGAGCCTTTTTAGGTAGTGAAAGGACTTTAGCCTCCTGGACCCCAAGGCAATCCTTTGCACTTGTTATGTGATTTTTTTAAGGGGTTCTTGCACTTTGGTTAGAAGTAACTGGTGCTAAGAGAAATGAAAGAGGAAAAGCAGATATCTTGTCAAAGAAGCGTAATGATCCAGTGCAAATATCTCTTGCAGTGGCATGTGGAAAACTTCCATTTGTTACAATGGAGGGACACCTCTCTGATTTTCCTCACCTCAAAGGTAACTTTTCTGAAATGTTGTAATTTTTTATAATTCGAATGGATCTCAGCCTCACTCTCTTTTTAAGGAAACTTTTAGTGTGATCTCTTTTGAGTGTTGCATGATCCATTCGGATGGTACTTTCAATTAGATAATACAGTGGGCACTGCTTACTGTGGTCAAGTTTGGCAAAGTAAGTTTGATTCTTGTAAGTGACCAATTCCAAAAAGTAATGAGGCTTGGGCCCTGTCCACACGAGCGCAGTTCGGGGAACTTATTCCTCAAACTGCTCAGTTCCCGGAACTTATTCCTTGAAACGAGCCATGCTGTCCACCCGAGTTCGCCCGAACTGGAACTGGAACTTCAACAAAACTGTACAATTATTGCAAAATAATAGATTATTACGACTGCCAAAGTAACAAAAATAAATGTCAAGATATGTAAAAGACGTGAAAAACAAAAACAAGCAAATTCACATCAAAAGAAACATATGTAGAAGCTCGGAGTACGGGGGAAGTTCCGGGTTTTGGAGGAATAAGTTTTAGCTCAGCTAAAAACTTGTTCTGGGAACAAGTTCCTCGAAATAAGTTCCGCGAACTGCGCTCGTGTGGACAAGGCCAAAGAATTAGGTGAAACTATGTATGTGCTCCCGAATATTTTGTGACAAGTTGGGAGGAATCATCAAAATATTTGGCGTAGTACGTCAGGGTCACCAAATGGAGCTATTTTCCATAGCAAGACCTATTATTTATTAATTAGTTTAAGAGAAAGTAGAAGGCGAATATGGAATATAATATTTTTATGTAAGCCACATATGTAAAACAAAGACGGAGGGCAATTACTTACTAACTAAAAACTGTGTTGTATTGTAAAATTTTCACAGCATGTATTACATGTGTACATGTAGGAAGTTTTACACTAGTCTTTGAGAGGATAAATTGATAATCTCCGAAAAATTTTAGCTATGATGTAAATTGTTTTCACAAGAAAGTTATCATTTGAAACCCATCTCTATAATCGATTATCGAGTTTAAATTCTATCAGGTTAATATTTTCAAAGCAATAATTGTTTAAAACAAAAGTCAATCATAACTTGCTTTACACTATCCTCAAGCATAGCATTCACGAATGATTCTTATTATATGTAAAATGTTGAATTTCCTGTACCTAAATCAAGTTTTGTGTGTAACTTTGTAGACATTTCTCTGTTTTACCACACTCATCTTTTTTAGGTGGGTTGATGAACGAAACTATGTTGATCTATCAAGACCCTGGTATGCGAAAGCTTTGCCTTTTCCATTAAATTATTACTATCCTGGACAGTATTCAAAGAGAGCAAAACACTTATTGGACTCACTTTATGAAAATATTGAAGAAGAACCAGCAGTGAGCAAGGTATTTGATTTAGATATTTCCCCATTTTTTTTTTTAAAAAAAAAAACCTTCTCTCCAGCAGTAGGTGCCTTAGTGAATAGTTATCAGCATTGAAAAATTAAATTTAGCAGAAATCCGCTTTTTGTAACTTAGTTATTACTGACTGTGTACCAAGGAGGCTTTTTCAAACACTATTTTTAATGAACGTTATAATGAATTTTGAAATCTTTAGAAAGTCACATGTGTATAAAATTTGCTTTTGTCAAACGCATTTTGGCTAGTAAAGTGATTTGATGTAAAATAAAAGGGAATTGTGGACAGCGTTTTGGGGAACTCCCACCAGTGCAAATTATAGTCTTACCTCTTTTTTAAAATTTTTTCCTCCTACTACCGGAATGAATGGAATCTTTCAAGAAATGTTCTAACTGAGAATCTTTTAATGGTACATAGATATAACTTTCGTAGACTAAATATAATTAAAAATTGGTTTCTGACTATTTTGAGTTGAAAATTTGTGTTTACTGAGAGAGATTTTCTGATAAGAATACTGTTAGGAGGATCATAAATTGTTGATCTCTCAGATATTATGCCATTCTAATAAATAGGAGACTTTGAACCTGCAAGAAATTCTAATTTATGTTGTTTACATACAACTTACAGCTTTAGCTGTCTGTTTTGTCACAATTTTGAATGTAAATCTTTTGAAATCTGTATTAGATGTATGCTGAGGCTGAAAAGTGCCTAACAACACTGGCTCATCGTCTCGGAGATAATAGTTATTTTTTCGGTAATAATCCCACCTCTTTTGATGCAATCGTTTTTGGTTATTTGGCACCTCTTCTCAAAGCCCCCTTCCCGTCGTGTTCACTTCAAAATCACCTCAAAGCCAGTACAAGCCTTTTGAAATTTGTTGTCAATATTTCCAAAAAGTATTTTCCAACAGAGCACAAAGGTATGTGTAATCTATGTTAATCTCCCTTTTTCCTAAGAAACAAAAAATTGGTTCCAACTATTGAAAATTGATGTTTATGCCTTTTAAAACAAGCGCAAGCTGTTGACAATCATTTCACATTGATTCTTTCTCTTGTTTTTCAATCAGTCTCATTTGTTTGGTATAATCAGATCCAGAAGCTCTAATAGATGAGTAGATGAGACTGGAAGGTAAATTTTAAATGAGAGATTATTTCGAAATTTCTAGTCACAGTATTTAATTTTGGCAAAATTGGATGGTTAAAAGTGTATGCCTAGTATCGTGATGGAAAATTTTGAAAAAGTAAAAATTCATATTCTATTTCAAATTTAAGGCATAACTGAGTTTTTTCACTTTTTCTTTTATTTTCATGCATTTCAGGTAGTTTAATGTTGTTCTCCTTTTTCTGCCTCGTTTTAAATTGTATAATCTGAAGTCTTTATTAACCGCTCAGATGTATTGTTCCCGAGTTAAATTTTTGCAAAAGTGAAAAAAACTACGCAGGATTCATTTAAGAATAGAATTTTTATCTTCCTGATAACCAAAAGTCTTTCATACGCAACCTCTGCCTGTGTATTTGTATTTGCCATGTCATCTTTTGCCATCATTTTTTTCTAAAAAAAAGTATATATTTTCAGATTATGAAGAGGAACTAAAGAAGCAAAAGAGTAAAGCTGAGATCGAATTTCCCAATGAACGAAGGAATCAAATCATGGCCGGTATATTTGCTGTCATTGCCATGCTCGGTTACGCGTATTCAATGGGAATCATAGAGGTAGGTTTTATTGTTATGACTTTTAAATTTAAAAGAATGATCTATTCTTCACCGTTAAGCGTAATAGCCTATCCCAAACGAGGATACTACATTGGGATAGATGCAGTCTGCATGATGTTTCCGTTTTTCAAGTTGAAGCTGCGTTTATGCATGTAAAAAATGTGTTTGATCCTTGATGAATCTAATTAATGAAGTCAGATGTACAGGAATATTGTGACATCAAATAATTGTATTTTATTCAAATAATCAAGTATTTCTTTGTTTATTTTAATCTTCCGTTCTTTGTCTCTTTTTTCCAGACTAAAAGGAAAAACCATGTTGCGCGTTCATAGGCCTCAGCTTATCCAAAAGAGATCAGGTTAGCCTCTGGCTCATGAAGGAGCTGTCCTTCTTTGCATTTGCCTTTTCATTTTTTTTTTACTCCTGTATCCATTAACTCTCTGATTTTTTAATTTACCAAATTTTTTGTCTCTAAATAGTAAAGAATTCTCTTCCCCCTTAATATCCCCTCCTTAGAAGTTTTCTCCATTCTGTGGTTCTCCTCGGATGTTTTTAGTTTGACAGAAACTCTTGCCTAATATGTTTCATTCGTGGAGTAAGGACATAGTATCAACATCTACCTAAGTCAATTTTTGGAAACTCATGAGTTCTGGAACGGCTTCAAAAACAGCCCTTTTCTCGCAGTCGCGGGATCATAATGTTTTGCCTCTTAAAAATTTTGGAGGTACATATGTTTATCATGAAGCTTGCGCTAAAAGCAGTTGTATACATATGTGACTGAATAATACAGCATAGTCTGATTTAATTTTGCTGGTAACTAGAAAGTCAAACCCAGTAGATTGGTGTAGGTTCAAAGTTTCGGAGCGCTTTCTATGATGTAAGAGGCTTTTCTCCCTGCATCTTTTCAAGTAGGTTGTTTTGGAGGTCACTTTTAAAGTCTAGGTTCATCAATACCGAAGGTGCATTTTATTTGTTGTTTAAAAGTCAATAGACGATGGTTGCTCATTTCATGCTCTTTTTCTCTTTTTTCTCTTCCGAAATGTTGGTAGACTCGTCTTTCTTATTCAAAGTAAAATGTTGATGGTTTTTTTTGTAAATAAATGAGAAATATTTTTTTTTTAAAACATGGGTTTTTATGTAATTTCCTTCAGAGCTCTAACAGTACTTTAACACCCCATTTTACCAAGACAAGTCTCTTGCTTTTATTCAGGTTTCAGTGTTGACAGATTCCTTCAACACATTAATGTAATAATGAATTTGGACTTTTGGTGTTTTGACACAAGAACCTGAGCCATTATGCAGGTCCAGAGGCCTATGTCCACACATTGTCATCACCACAATGACGGGAAATTTCATTCAGTTATTTTTTTCATTGAATCTGTTTTTTTCTATAGATGCTAAGTACATTTTTGGCAATGAAGAGTCCTCAATAACATATTTTGGGTTTGATTCAATTCTTTAAGGACTCAGTTTGTAATCTTTGAGTTTTTGATTGAAGAAATAGATTTTGATAATCATCTTACTGGAGGTGCTTGTGAAAACAAACCTCTGGGTAAGATCTTGATCGCTTTTAGCCCAGTTTTTGCCATAAATAAAGTAAAGCCTAGGTATTCGGCCTACTCTCTGCCTAATTAAGAAAAGTAGTGACTCTCGCTCAGTGTTCTGGTGATGGTGACGATTTTTCTTTTTATGTACCTTACTATATCTTGTTGACTGCTTACAAATGGGTTAAGTTATATATTGGACAAATAAACTTTTCCTCTCAAATACATTGGGCTAACTGATGACCATGTTGCTAAATCGCAAACAAGAAAAAGAAAGTCAAGAATAAATGAGGTAGCCCAAAAACTCCAAAAAAATAGAATTTATCACCTAAGCTAGAGAAAATAGAGGTTTTGTCTTCGGCAAATAAACATAGTTGTCCTAGTAGATTAGTGCCGAAAAACGCAGCTAGATCTAGGTCCAAACTTTTTTACAGAATTCTCAGCACCTAAATTTAGTGATTTGAATTAAAAATTAAGATAGTCACGTGTGAGCTCTTATGGGATGTACTTCAAGATACTAGCATTCTATCACATTGTGGGGCATTTTACGTTTGTGGAGCTTAATCTAAGACTATGGATGAAATGAAACTGGAAAAACATCCATTGAAAAACAAGAATTCAATCTAGGGTAAGAAAATTTGTAAGAAAAGCGGTGCCAGTTGAAAATGATTGCAAAGTCTCCGAATATGAGGATACGTATAAAGACAAGGCAGAAAATTCAACGTTATAATTTATTCATCTTTGCTTCATTTAAAACATAGTTTACAACTTTCATACAGATCAAGAAAGAACATTGATTAGTTTTGAATTCATCCAGCTGTGATGCTTCTGCAGCTCATAGGACAGTGGCTCAGAGAACGAGCTTAAAGGATATAAGTAATCATTTACAAAATATTGAGGAAACATTAAAATAAACATCACATACTTTTAGGTTAAAGAGATAAATCCTTAAAATGGTAAAATCTTATCAGTCAAGATTAAGTAAAAGAATACAGACACTCGAAAAATAATTCATGCAGCCAAACTGAACCCAAAACAGCAAACATTTCCCTCTCTATCACAAACTGCAAGAGCAGAACAGTTTATACTGCAAGTGGCCTCAACAAAATTTTCTTAAGTAAAATAAATTGACTTAATGCAAATGTACATACTTTATAATACCTAATATAAGATTCCACTTCGAGAAAGACCGCCATTGTGTAAAGTATATTTACTTGAGAGAATCAGTTCCATGACTACAGGGGAAAAATGTCCAACAAACAAAACATGAATGCTCCCACTTTTTTTTACACCTGTCAATAGAACTCATCAGTCGGCAGTCTTTCCCAAATGGACTAACAGCCACTAGACAATTTTTGAAGATCCTTAAAAAAACTAACTACAATTATCACAGAGTCTGTTACTGGTAAAATCAAAAAGTTCCGAGTGCACAGTTATAATCTGAAACATAAAGATTCAAGGTTGTCGAGAAATTTGGTGGACGCAACAAAAACCAATTTTGTTACAATGTCCCATACATGGGTGAGCATTGCAGGGAAGGAATATACAAGGTAATTCAGAAACAGAAACGTAGGTTAAAAGAATTCATTTAAAACAAGTTACATTTATGAACCACAGTTCTTCTTGCAGAGGAAAAATTTCTCTCTCTTAGGTCTCTCTTCTAGCTGCCTAGAACAATACTTTCCACAAAATCCACTTCAAGTGTATACGAACACTTCGCCGTTTTATTCGTTGAGCCAACTGTCGGTCAACCCATTAGGTTAATCTAACGAATATTTATTTGTTGCCAGAAAATAATCTTCGGAAATTTGTTTGAATGCTGCTAGTTGGATTTGGCTTGTTATCACACTAAACAATTCAATGGACTTGGAAAAAATTAAAAATCTTTGTTGACTTTATCTGATGCTGTTAGTTGAATTAGGCCCATTTCTAAACTGAAAAATCTCATGAGGATGGAGTGAATGAGTAAATGGATACCTACTGGAAGCAGCACAAACTTAAGAAATACGCACATATAAAAGTAGAAAAAAAAATATCAGTTAATTTTACCAAATGCTCTGTCACTTTTATTAATAAAATGGTAAATTTTAACTTTTTTCACATCCTTCACATTTAAGCATCAAACATTTAAGCCTTGTCTAAATTCAAAATCGAAGGAGTGTTACAAATATGTGTATCTTCTTCTGTACTTCCAGTGCCTCCTTAAAACCCCACCAGCCTTCTTCTAGTCAAATTTCGTATCATATTATTGTTCGGTATAGTAGAGCCCCTTGGTCATGAATATGGAGGCAGAGAGAGGGCTTTTAAAATAAAATTGAGAACATGAAAATAGAACGCAGGCTATAAAATGTCTCAGATCAACAATCAAATATCTTAAACAATTGGAAAAATATCACTCGCACCCAAATGTCGATCAAAATCTAGGAATATTGAACTTGTTGACATGCCTCTTCCTGGTTTTATGTTCATGAGACTTGATATCAAACATTTCATTCAATTTAATTTAGACAAATTTTGAAAAAATGAGCAAAGAATTTGAGATGAAAAACTTGTAGACCTTTCATTGCGGGTGAAAGCTTATTGCTGGCTGTTTCTCCTTTCACTATGGAATTAGCCGTTACTGTGGTTTATTTTTACAAGATTTAAGAGGGTGTAGGTAGTTTAAACTGCATTCGAAGCCGTCCAATTATTTTGAATTCAAATAAACACTTTACTCTAAGATGCTATTATTTAAAAATACTTAGAAAGAATTACTTCTGGCTTGTGGCTCAATTTAGTATTTTCACTGATGTACATAACAATTTTCAGTATCTTTTTTTCAACCGATACAACCAAATGGCAAACAATGTACTTTCCTCAAAAAATTGTTCACACCAGATACCTTCAAAGATGCTCTCACCACATTTTTTTCAGTATTTAATGGACACTTCCATTGCGCTGTTCTAAAAAATAAAAAAATATCTGCTTCAGCATTCTAAAGAGGTTCTAGGGTTCCACTTTCAACTGACTGATCTTTTAGAATGTTTTCAATATGAAGTCTTCATATTGAGAACTTGAACAATATGTCTCTATAGCAATACCCATTGGGAAGAAGATTTAGACTATTCGGTCTAACGCCTTTTAAATTCTGTGAATCAGCGATCATTAATTTTGCTAAAAATCATCACATATTGGGACAGAGAAGATTTATGTAGTTCTTAATTTCAGCAGGAAAGCATGGGTATCACATTGAGACAACATCGTAATTTATACTATAACACAGATAAAATTAACATCAAGATTAAACAGTTCAACATCAATTTTTAACACTTAAAAATGAACTTTGTAATGCATTACAAGTAGCAAACTCCTTCGTTGAATTTACCCTGTGGAGACAATGCATTGGCCAACACAGAGGTTGGGTTCGATTCTGTGAGATTTAAAGCTAAGCTCTCTATGAACAGGAGCTTACTATCGTCAAAAAGATTTGAGGTCGTTAAGTGGACGATTTAAAATCGACAGGATCTGCTGTAGATCGCATTAATTTACTCTAGGTTTGATTCCAGCTAACTGCCTTTTTTAAAACATTTTCATGATGGATTTCTATCTTCTAAAGATGAAGGTTAAAGTACCTATTGAATGTTAGTTCTTGATAGGTACCTTTGTAGACATAGAAATATTCTTGAAATTCTGATCCAGATTTTTTCTCTGAATTTTCTGGTCAAAAACAGAGATCACAGACCCTAGAATCACTTGAAGTTTCAAGTCAGCAAATTTTTCCTTCAAAAAAACAATTGATGGTTTCTACCTTCTGGTCTGTTGATCCTCTGTTAAAATTTTTCCTGCGTCAAAATAAACTTTGTGGGAATCTGCATGAAACGTGTTAGCTCCTACAAAGTTTTCATCATCGCTATTTGGCTTTAATCCATGAAATGGCTTTCGAACAAACATAGAGTAGAATTATCACTACAGTAAAACATACAGTTATGACAAAATCGTGATGAGCAGGAGGATCACACAGTTTGAAGACCGTCACTAGAGGACAAAGCTGTGGAAATGTGAGATCTGCAAGTTAAAATTTCTAGAACATTTTCTTCTAAGCAAAAAGAAGGCAAAGGTCTCAGAACATTCCACAGAATGAATCTCAGCCTTAAATAGTTCCTCCAGGCGCTATGTAGTCATTAGATTTAACAAGATTGAGCAGATAATAATTCACAGTATGGGGGGTAAAAATGTCCCCGAGTCGGTGAGATTGGGATCACCGTTGGTTTGCGCAGTATTGCGTTTGCGGAGGAGATGGTATATAGAATTAGGCGAACTCTGGAGAGAGGTTGGTGATTTCAGATAATCAGCCAACACATGCGAAGGATTTATGTTGATCCAGTCTCGGAGGAATTCATGACGCAATGCTTCATCAGGACTCATTCTCTTTTTGGGATCCCAGCTATAAAAAGGCAAAAATTAGAATTAATAACATCTGAGTTGGACGGTTTCATGAAAGGTGTCAGGAACCTGGAAAACTGAGAACTTATTGAGGAACATTGACAATAACCAGAAAAATGAGCAAATTGGTCAGGCATTGATGTGAAATGAGGAATTTCTTCTCTTTCTCTTTTCGTTCGAAAAATAATATTATTTCGAAATTTGGTGATCTTAGTTGACGCATTTCTTCGATTCAGACAACTTCGATTCAGACTTCGATTCAGACAAAAAACGAGAAAACTGATTCGTTTTTATTCTGACCTGCGAGAAATCTAGTTTCTTCCATGACAATCTGAAGAAGAATGAAGATTTCCCTGATTTTCATTGGAGAATCTTCCAACGGAAATCAGACAAAATTAGAAAGATATAAAGGTATAGTGAAAAAAATTAAAAATTTAGGTAGTAGTAACAGATTGGAATTTTCCTCATCCCTCAGTGGCTCCTGTTTTTCAACACTGTGATACTGTAATGCAGTAAATTTCATTGAAAAAAAGAAGGGAAAAAATCTCTGAATTTTTATATTAGATACTTATGCCTTTCAGTTTGCATTGTTGGGTGTGTGATAATCATCAAATTTAATGCAATTTGGTTGTCAAATGTTTTGAGTCTGTCTCTTGCATTACTTTTCAATTAATGAATAAATAGTGATCATAGGCCATCAGTCAAAAAAAACTAGCATGACAGTTTTACTTACTGTAAGCATCTGGATAGGAAATCCACAAAGATTTTATCATCACATTTAGTGATAGAGGCCAAAGTCTTGAAACCAGGAATTCGTTTCCTGCCTTTGCTGTTGGTCGTGCATCTAGGCAATCCTTTTGAATCTATGAACAGAAGAAATTTATACATATAGATTCTTTGTACTTGCAGCACATTATTTTTGATGTTGATTGGTTTTTATGTTACTTTTTTTCTGACAGGTAGCCTTTTTAAGAAAACCTTCGATTTCACCATAAAACTCGGTATTAATTAAACAAAACAAAAACAGAATTTGGAACAGCCAATCCTTGCCGGACTGAAATAATCAGCCATCATGCAGGTCTGTCAGGTCTAATAACACACCTTTAAGTAATTCTTTAAATATGACAATAAAACCCTTTTTCCTTAATAATACTGTTTCATCTTTACACAGTGGCATTTCTGCGTTGTTCTGTAGTTTCATGGCAACATGTATGTACTCCTTTTTTTTCAATGAGTCAGGCTGGAGATTTGAACACATGATATGTTGAGAGCAACTGAGATGGATTTCTGGAGGAGGAAGATAGTTTCTAGAAGAGATCGGCAGGTCCTCAATGATAGAGTGCGTCAGATCATGGAAGTCAGAAATGACATTGTATTCGACGTCATGACCAAATAGCTTGTCTGGTATGGTCATGTTAACAGAATGACAGAAGGGAGACTGCCAAAGAAAATGCTACATTGGGCTCATCCTGTGATGGAGACGCCCAGTGAAAGAGTTGTGACGGGGAGTTTTCAATGAAATGAGGGAGTGTCAACTCCCTGAAGGGCTGAGAAAGGACAGGGTACAGTGGCGGTTGGGCACCTTGGAGCGCCAGAGAGCGCTGTGGAAGCAACTTTTATGTCATGTACATAAGGTTTCAACTGAAACTTGTCAAAAAATCCAATAAATACTTTCATAAAAGATTTACACAAAACATACATTTTTTGCGCACAAGGAAGTTCATAACTTACCAAAAAATAGACGTCTTCTTGATGCATTCATAGTTACATCTTCAGGGGGTAGACCTAAAACTTCCATAATGCAAGCTAATTGTTCTACTTCATTTTCTCCTGGGAAAAGTGGGTAGCCGGTATAAAGCTCTGCTAAAATACAACCTGAGGGAAAGAGAGAAAGATTAGGTGTTAAAGTACAGTAAGAATTTTATTTTTTCAGCATTTTAAAGGAATGCATAGCACTTACAGTTTGCTTAGGTGGCTGAGAGGTGAAGTCAGTGACTGGCATGAAGTTTTGTTTAATGGATGAAATGCAGATAGATTTGCACGTTTAAAGAACCTGCAGCCTGATTGTTGAAATTTTTTGTTTGTCGGGACGACATAGATGACATAGGTTAAAAGGCGAAGCATGATTGGTCGGCTATGTCTTATCGCTGCTTTGTCGTGCCTTTGTCAGGTGGAATGATCGACAAGCTAACGGCACCTCTTAAGTTTCCGACAGCATGTCGATCATTCCACCTGACAAAGGCACGATAAAGCAGCGATAAGACATAGCCGAACAATCACGCTTCGTCTTTTAACCTATGTCATCTATGTCGTCCCGACAAACTAAAAATTTCAACAATCAGGCTGCTGGGCTTGCCAAAGTAATTCAACCCTTAAAAATAGCCCAGACCGTTCACTTGATACCACCCCTCAGTCACCACTTTTCTAGGCGTGGACTTCAATACAGAAAAAATTTATCTCTGGTATTACAATGACTATTCAAAAAACTTGAAAATTCTTGAAAAAAATTGTTAAAATTTAGAAGGAAGGAAACTTCTCTTGGATATTCTTTAAAGTAAGATCTACAAGTATAATGAAAATAGCTAAAAAAAATAATAAAAGTTGCAGCTTTTTGACACTTAAAAATATTTAAAAAAAAAATTGAAAATTTAAGAACTTCATCCTAACACCAAAATGTAAAGGTGTAGGAAGGGAGAGGTATCCCTGACCAATGAAACTTATCTTTTGGCTAGCATTGATATTCCAATCATGCAGATATCAAATTAGTTTCTTCTACTTAGCCACGAAATGAAATTTCAAAAAGAGTTTCAACTCACCAAGACTCCACATATCTATGGCCGTTCCATATGGAAGACCTAGAATGACTTCTGGTGAACGGTAAAACCGTGACTGAATATACGTGTAAACCCTTTGATGAGAGTAGCATGAGCTTCCAAAGTCTATAACCTTGATTGAGGTACTCCCACCATGCCTTAACAGCACATTTTCCTGTGAACATTCGAAAATCAAGAAGGGTATTCACATCAGATCGGAAAATTTCCCAATGTCAATCAAAGTGATTTAAATTTGGAAAAATTGACATATTACAGCCAATAAAATTCGAATTCTACCAGCAACCGAGGAAGACACTTGAAAGTGGCTCGATTATTATGCGCTTATAACTCTTGGCATACCAGGCATATTTTAAGTGATCTACCCTCCATAACAAGGGTCTCTCGTCTCAGATTCTTCTTCAAACATTCTGTTGAATGATTTTCTAAATCATCTATCTACATCATTTTGGTCTTATGGTATTTGCATCTGAATTCAGGAAATCATAATCCATTTGTTTTCCTTTTTAAAAGTTCAAAATTCGAAAAATTGCAAATGAAAATTTTGCACTCTTTGACTTTGTTTATATTGTTTTAAACTTTTGATAGAAAAGTAGAGAATAACACACATATCAGCAGTGAAAGTGCAAAAATGCGTATCTTGGTTTCAGATTTTTAAAATTTCTGCATGTATTTTATTTTTTAAAGGAAACTGAACTGACACCATGGCTTGAAATTTTCACAGAAACTGCTTAAGTAGGTGCTGTTTACTCACAAGTATAAATTTGAGCCTGGCACACATGTGAGAAACTTTGGACAGGAGAAAAATAGATAAATTCAGGATTATTAAAATTATTACCGGTTTGAGATCGCAGTGAATTATGTTTTCTCGATGAAGGAGTTGTAGGCATTGAACTAACGAGACTGCAAATTTACGTATAAGACTGAGAGAGAAACCATCATAGTAATTCTTCTTGATCAGCTCATACAGATTTAGGCTGAAAAAGAGAATGAAATCAGAGATTATTAATTGGAAGACAGATGTGCTCAAAAAGCAGAGGAAAATGAAATGCACACACAAATGCTGAAGAGCCTCATTTGTACATTGCGGTATCTGGCCAAATTTTCTCAAGATTTTCCCCTCAAATTCTTCATGGATTTACCTTTCAGTTTGAGCTCATTATTTGCAATATGTACCTAAAGCAAAAAATCCGATGAAAAAGAAGTTCAACATACCAAGCTATATTCTGACGAACTTGAGGAGAAAATGTTGCTTGAGACAAAATATGGATATAAGAGAGAAGAAATTGCAACTATTTTGATCAGCTGGAATTCCTATTGCCATTATCTCAAATCTCACTTTTGTATCAAACAAATTGAATTTTTTCACATTACAAAAAAAGATATTGGTATCAATTACTTACTTCATCAGTTCAAAGCTAATGCACAGATGATTGCGGAAATAAAAGTACTCCAGCATATGAATCACATTGTGAGAACCATCCGTATCTTTCCGTCGTAGATGCTCTAATATTCTAACTTCAACTAATGCTTGGTGGTGAAAACGTCTCTTATTCCTGTAAAATAGGGGCCACATACAATTGTAATTAGATAAAAAATATTGATCAAAATTGAGATAAAACAAGATCCAAGAAAGAGAAAATCATGAGGAAACTAAGTTCAAATTAAACTTCTGGTTTCTACTTTTTTAGAGGTGGATTGCTCAAAATTAATGAATATGGCAGTCATTTGTTTTGCAAGAGAAAAACCATATTTCCAAGGAAGGATCTTATTGTTCAGAACTTCCTGAGGTATTTGGTCTATCCAAAAAACAACACAAGCATTAGATCTGGTGATGTGCGTGGATTTCATTAATTTGATAATGCTTATTTACTTTTACTCAATTAATGAGTGGGTAAACAATTTTAAAGTAACCAGCTCCATTTTTTCCAGAGCACTCTTCTTTTCCAGATAATTTAAATTACTCTGATTCTGAGGTAAACATTGTATTCTGAGACAAACTCTAAGTACTCATTGAATATTGGACGACATTTCCTTCTTGCTAAAAAATTTGATTGATAAAATGATTGTATCAAAATTGGCTTAAGCTTTTTCCCCACAGTATTTGTTCCAAACACAACAAGTATCAACATATGAAAGAAATAGAAAAAAAACTGGCCTAACCTGACAAATTGAAAACCATTATTTGATCAACTGAAAGGAATAACACTTACCTAATTATTTTAATGGCTACAAATTGATTAGTTTTATGGTCTAAAGCTTTAATTACTTGTCCAAAACTTCCTTTTCCTATTACTTCCATTATTTCATAGCGATAACACAGATGGTCAAATAAGATCTGTGAACAAAAAATCACCATCATGAAGACAAAAAATCACTCACAATGAACCAAAAAGAAAAACAAAACAAAATTTGATGTCAGGTCTATACAGTTTTAACACTCCATGAGAGGAGTGAGAGGATGAGTTTTCGAATTTCTTGATAGATTCAATTTTTACCATGCAAATATTCCCTAGTAAATCCATTGAATTTTGTAAAAGAAAATAAGCTAGGTAGCAACATTTTTTCAGCTTTGTTTAAGTAAGAAGATCCTTTTTTCTGGCAAGTTTTTAACTGATGTTAGGTAATTCACATACACTCAAAGGAATTATTACAGATAAGGAACCTCTGAAGATTGTGGTTTCGTTTTCTCATTCATTCTTTACCTTTCGATTTTGCAACCATTCGACCTTGCAACAAGTCAAATAGTGCAGTGCAAAGAAAATCCCAAAAAGAAATTGCAATTTAATGCAATAAAATTTCAATTTTACAGCCATTAAATTTCAATATTTTCACATCACTTGAAGGGATGGTAGGATGAGTCTCAAGTATCATACAGATAGGAAATTTGTGATATAAAGAAAAATCAGAATTTATTTCACTTTTATTGAGCAGTTTTCACTGGGAGGTGCAACCTCAATTAGTAAATAGGTGACATACACAAAACTCCGATGCGATAGGAATAATTTGACAATGTACTAATAATTTATTGCAATCCATACTACATGGGAAACAGTAGGTACCTACTTAAAGTGTGAACAAAGTAGGATTTTTTAAAAGCATGACATCCAACAGATAAAAGCATATAATATATGACAAGATATTTTAAGTATTACAGATTTTCAATGGAAACTCACTTTATTATAGCTGCCGTTTTCATCATCATATCCACCGTTCTGAGATAGACTTTTGTCTCCATGAATCTTACATGAATCTAAACCTAGGTACCATATCTCCGGATAGTTGCTAATCTCAGTTCTTTCGTATTCTGTCAGTCGATTTCCGTAATACTTCAGGGCCTCTGTAAAACAAAAAATAAATATAAGTGTAAACAAAATAACAATAAGCATGACACAATAAAAAGACGGGGGGGAAAAATTGCCTCAGCATATAAGTGCTTCTAAGACTTTTAGTCAATTCAGTGAGACGAAAGGATCTTCCAATTTTTAACTTCTGACATGCTTTCAAAAGTAGCAGCGATACGGAGAACATTCTTGAGAATATTTCCATTTTACACACTGTGAATGAATTCAGTTGGGATTAAAATAAGAGGTAAAAAAACAACATATAATGAAGTATGACTTTACTCTAACTTTTTAGGGCTTTGAGGACTATTAATCTGTTCAAAAGTTATCTATTTAATAATTTTTTTGATCAGTCTAACTAAAAAAAAAAAAAGTGTATGAGATTAGCATTAGCATACACATACAGAAGCCCATGGGGTTTCTTCTTCCAACCGTGGGAAGAAAAAAAACCAACATTGTACGGACGTATTTCTGCCAAGAAATAATGATAGAAATAATGTCATAATGTCAACTGTTATGAAACGTCATATTCTTGTGACGTGAGCCCTGATATGCATGTATTCTTATGAGTCTCAGGGCTCATGTCTCAATGCACACAGTTCCGTTTGGCAGAAATACGTCCATTTGTGCCTATTTACGTAGGTCTAAGCATAGGAAAAATCTAAATTCAAAGTAAGAAAGTTTAGATACCTGCTGGTGTGAGAGGGAGTTTTCTGCCAAAAGGATCGTAGCCTTCTCGGAGACCAGCTCTACGATAATACTCAGCAACACTACCACTCGTTGTGTAGTTGTTGTTTAGGCTCGTCCTTGTGTTGACCGAATTGTTATTCAAGTGTGGAAACGCAGGCGGATGGTGGAGCGTTGGACTGGTTGAGTCTTTCCTCGACTTCTGAGGATGCCGCGTTGGTGAGTCTGTCGAAGCATCGACTAATGATTTCTTCGAGGCAGACTTCTGAGATTTTTGCAACTGGTGGGTCGGCGTAGTTGTTGAAAAGTCTGTCAAAGACTTCTTTAAGCTTGTTTTTTGGCATGATTTGGATTGTGGTCCTTTCAAAGATGGCAGCTGGAACAGAAAAAATGTTTTCATGCATGAGACTGTGTAGATTATCTTGGAGGGCAGTACATGATTGGAGCCTCGAGTGAATAAGGAGGTGAGTAACATACTTACTGATAATTTTGGGAAAAGCTAGTTTAAAACTTAAAAATTACTTCGAGTCTCAGTAATAATGGACTACTATTGAAACTCAGAAACTGAAGCTGTGGAGCTGAAGACCAAGTTTTCATAGTTAATTTTTTGAGCAATTCACTTTGAAACAATTCCGGTCATGAATAAGCGATATTTCAACTTTTTCAAAAAACCAAACCCTTATGAAACTTTCCTTCAACTTTCCTTTTCCTTTTTTCCATTCGGTACTTTAATTTCAAAAAGAGAACGACCTGATTGCATAAATCTATTCCGTTCATTTGTAATTAGTGACTACGAATAAGATCGACGCTCACAAAATGACCACGCGTCATTTCGAATTTCCCGCGAGTTACTTCAAATTCCGCGCGCCTCCAAAATCGAGACCTCCCCGCTAAAGTTGCCAAGTTGTGTAATAAAACCTACATCTTTTACGTTGATTCGTATTAGAGTCCCTTTATACTGAGAGTCAAGACAATTTGAATCCATTTCTGATTGGTTCCCGTATTTTAGGCCTCCACAGTGTCACAAACGGGAATAAAGATTACATTTTCACCAATTGCAAAGATTATAATCTGGAATGGACCAGGGAATTACGGGTTCGGCAAGGAACAAACGGAATGAGAGGAGGAACGGAGAAAGGCATTTGAGAATGGGCCGATCAAAGATTACGAAAAACGTTCAATTTCTGTAATCTTTATTCCCGTTTGTGACATCCATGAGCCGAATTGTCTTGACTCTCATTGTCAGTATAAAGGGACTCTAATTCGTATGCGGGAAAATGCTAATTTTATCGCTAGAGTGCGAGATGGAAACGGCGAGTAATGGTCGGTAATCATGTTTTCAGTGTGTTTGCATGCTGCCTATCCTCTCAGTTCAAGGCGCTAAAATTATCAGAATTTTATTGACGTGTCCGAGACTTCATTTATGGAAAAAGTCCTGAGTGACAGATATTTAAGTACCTTCACCGAATTTGATAGTAAGAGTATTTAATATTATTGATGTTTTTTCTATGTTTTTGAAGGTAAAAAATACCTTATTTTCCCCCTTCTTTTTTTTTTAAAATTCTTCATCTTTTAGGTAACATACCGGCGCTTTCTCATCAATCCTCGCCTTCTTATCCGCCATAAGTAACACCCCAGAAGAATTAGCCGGATCAACTTGAACCGCTTTGGGATTTCCATGAGTCGCCAGAAAAAAAAAAAATCCCTCACACGACACAGCACTCGCCAGAATACCAACTTTTAGTAGAGCGCCTCTTAAGGCGCTTGAGGGACCTTTAACCATTTTTAAAAATTTTTTTGCGTTTGCTCAAAATAATTATCGATTGGAAACTTTGAAAAAACTAGTTTCGGGAAAAACACGTTGAAACTTTTAAACTAATTTTCAAAAGGTTTTTGTCGAAACAATATTTGGACCATATTTTGCTATTTGGAACCATAATTCCTGGCTCAGTTTAGAAACAACATATCGACGGTGAAACTACCAAACCACGTATCTCGTTTGCGGTGTTTAAAAATCTCCGCTCACATTTTATTTTTTTGAAGTAGACCAAATCAATATCATTCCTTGAAATTTTCACAGAATTTTCTCCGCACGAAGAGGAAAAATCACGGAAATTTTCAAGACTGGACGTTAAGTAGCTTTTCATTTAAAAAATAAAGTATGACAGGAAGTCTGCGACGTCGCAAACCGAGATACGTGGTTTAATAGTTTCACCGTCGATATGTTCTGTTGGTTTTCCTATGCTCATAAGTGCTTTTACAAAGAGCCAGACATTTTAGCTCCTAATTGCAAAATGTAGTCCATTTTTGAAACTTCCGTTTGAAAGCGGAGTTTTATAAATCGTTAAGTTTCAGAAATTGCAAACCACCTTAACTCCTAAGTGCTCCTGCTCTAGTATCATTCAATTCATTTTGAGTTTTTGTGGCGGAAGGTCCGATTGCCCTTGGATAGTCACACCATTGATGGAAGAATTCAATTTTAAAACAAAATAATTTTAATAAATCAAAACTTTACCGCAACTTTCCTTTCATTAAAATGCTACACGTGGGTGGGGGAAATGTTGCGGTGACAATCTAGAAGAAAATTCCCCAGGATAGATAATAAAAAATCGAAAAAAGGGTACGTAGCTGTAGGTGGCTGAGGCTAAGTAGATCAAACAGGAAATCCGGATGACGAGATAGAAAATAAAAGTGAATATTTCGCCGACGAGTTGTATTTTTGTTCTTTGTTATGGCGAGATCCTTTCTCTAAGGTAAATTCTGCTTTCTCAGAGTTAATATTGAAAAAACTTGAGTAACCTTTAACCTCATGGGAAATTATTGGGCTCGACTGAAGCATGTTCAATTTTCCATCGATCATTTTATTTCAGGCCTTGATTAGCGATGTCGCAGGGGATTAAAATGAAAAAGGAGACGGAGAGGTAGAAGAACAAGAGAGAGGAGCTGAAATTAAAATTTTATGCTCAGAAATTATGATGTATCGAAATAGTATCGTCTCCATTCTTGAGGATAGCTTGAGCTTGGATCTGATTTTGAATTCCCGTGAGGCTCTGCTTCCTTGTCTCCATGATACTGATAGGCTTATTTTAATTTTTGCTTTGATTTAAAATAAAGAGCCAAAGGAATCTTTAAAAACTGTAACACATAGTTCTTCCGTATTCACTACCCAAGTAGCACATTGCAACGAAAATATTGAAAGTAAATTGCCATTTGATGTCAATACAATTGTAATTTTTTTACCGTTAAATTGCAATAGATTTACATCATTCAGTCGATTTATGCCGATTGTAAACAATCAAAAAAATGAGCTTTATGTGTTAGAAAGACAGGCAACATGCAATGCAATGAAAAATTGCAACTTATTTCAATTGTATTGCAATGAGTTTCAATGAATGGGGCCCCTTCAAATAGGAGCTAGGCAACATTCACAACACTCAGTTGAATTGCAATATTTTTACTGTGTGATTGCTGCTTATTGCGATCTGTGCTACTTGGGTAAAACGAGAATGGGGTTCTACCTTTTTGCGATCACGTCATGCGGATTTCTGTTGCACCATTCCTTTAATTTTCAGTTATTTTTCTAGTAAGCCCACGGCTATTCTGCCGTGCTGAGGAAGAACGCCGTGTAAACATTCGAGAGTTGGCAAGTTTCCTTGAATAAAACTTGTATATGTGAGGAGTGTTCTGCATAGTTTTCCTTGAAATTTTCAGTTATTTTTTATTACATTGCATGCAAAATTGTCTGAAAATTTTGGGGGGAAAATATTCAAAATTTGCCTAATAAATTCAGTTATTACCGAAGGAAACTTGGCAACGTCTGAAGGCTCATACGGCGTTCTTCCTTGGCACGGCAGTGTTGCTGCTAATGGTGTTATTGCACTCATGATTTTTATTTTTTTACCAATTTTTGACGCAAACATTTTCCTCTCTATCATTCATTTAGACGTCTTCTCCTTACTATGTCATCTATGACGTCCAAATTTGAGTCACGTATGAATACTTGACGAATGAATTGTTGTAAAGACGAGGATAATCCTTCACTAGGACTTCCGATTAATTAGACCGAGTTTCATAGAAAACCAAGATTCCAAATTCAACTAAGTTTCATCGAGATTGAATAAAAAAAAAATAGATTTAACGGTCAATTCCTCCATAAGGCTCATGTTAGAGATATAGTTCACGCCTTCCGTCACATTTAAAACATTTCTTTGCGATTAAGAAATTTTGACGGAAGAAGAAGAACAGCTGGTTTAACTCAAAAGTACCCTTAGTGGCTATTTTGCACGTTGACAACACTGATTTTACTCCACTGAAATCGATTGTTTTACAAATATTTAAATCGGGGGTTGCCATCTCTCAAAAATCGCCACTGAGTACACTTGACTAATTTTTGTTTTTTCAAAATTATACTTGGTTTGATTCTGGATTTTTTTGATGTAGCTTAAGTTGAAAAAGGAAACCTTTTTATGAATAGATCAGTGTTTTTCTGCTCAACGTTTATGCATGTTTGAATTTAGTATTTGACAGTTACGTCGGGAATAAAAAATTACCTCTGGTCCGTTCCGAGTAAGCATTCCATTCCGCAATTTGCTCGGGACTGGCTGATGCGGTTTGTGTGACGGACGTGCCAGCACATCCTTGCTTAAGGTTATGGAGCCAGGACTCTGAAAAAGAGAAAAAACAACCACGGTTAGTCGACATTGAGAGGGGCTTAACTTTCGGCTAAAGCGAAAGTTTGCAAGGGCTCGGTTCGAATAAGGAACGTCAGAAAAATCCGGGGGAAATTTGCACAGGAAGAGACGGACGAAGATACGGAAGGGAAAAGTTCCTTCGAGAATGCTTTCGCATCGCATGCATGGAAATGGGCACGCCTGCTTGCATGGCCGAGAACAAACACGCAGATAAAAAAATGCATGCTGCAAAAGGGACAAGGTTGCTCCTCTGAATACGGGCGAAATCTTCAAATCGATGGATAGGTAAAGTTCATTATTCTGGGGGTCATGAAAGTCATCTCTGGTCGCCGTACAGTGGGCCGAATATTAAATAGGAGAGATCGGACAAAATTCAGAAACTTTAAACGCTCATACCTCCACCTCGAGGTTCTAAAAGTGGCTTTATTGGTTCCTCGTGAAATTTTCTTCAGAAGGCACCCCTTTAAATTTAAAAAATAACAAATTAAACATCAAAAATCGCAGTTTAAGTAAAAATGTGATGTCCGACCTCTCCATTGACTCGATCCACTGACTGTGCTTTACGGAGGAGAGGAGGCGAAAAAAGGAAAAAACCGAACAACTTGGATGCTTTTTGGACTTTTAATGTCACGTTGAATGACTTTCGCGGCTGCGCGCTCCCTGCGAAACCGTGGCTTTGCCCGAAGCACTGGCTGGAGCGCATCCTGCAGCAGAGCAACTATTCGCGCACCTGCGTCGTGTCTATTGCCTACACGAAAAATTGCAGGCGTTATACGAGGCTATGGTTTTTCCTTAGTTGCAAAGGCCTTAAGTATTTCATGTAAGCTAAAATACTACACAAATTACTTGTCACATTTCGTTTTTCCGAAAGGAAGCAAACCAACATTTTTTCTCGGAATTTGATACTTCCTCGTGGTGTAAACTATTCTGTGAAGATTTTCAACAGCAACGTCCATTGGTTTCCGCTTTCAAAAAGCCAATTTAACAGCGGAGATTTTGAAAAATCGCGTGTTTCGCGACTTTTACCGATCATTTGCAACGAGCACAGTGCAAAATTTTGGAGAACGTGGGAAGTCCCGGCGGAGAGCGCAAAGGTCGGTACCGAAACGAGACCCCCCTCTCCCCCGTCCGAGGGAGAGCTCTGCCGTGCTAAGGAGAAACGCCGTATGAGCATTCGAGAGTTGCCAAATTGCCCCGGAAAAACTTGTATTTTTGAGAACAATCATGCGTATTTTCCTTGAAAATCTCAGACCTTATAGACAAAATTGTCTGAAAAAATTGAGGAAAGATATTCACGATTTTCCCAGTAAAGTAAGGTTTTATTGGAGGAAACGTGGCAACGTCTGAGGGTTCATACGGTGTTCTTCCTGGGCATGGCAGAGCTAGAAAGTCCCGCTTTGACGAGACAACGAAAGAGCCCGAAGAAGCATGCTGCTGCCTTGGCGAGTTGGCGCACCTGGTACGACACCGCATGGCGTGCTCCCTTTAATAGTTTAATTACAATCTTTAAGTCTAGCTTCTTTTCCGTTTCAGTTTTCTTTCAGCCCTTGCCCCCTCCCTCCCCCCGCGCGACCTCTCGGCGCAAACTGTCTGCTTGTATTACTCCGCCCCCCTTGTAATTGCTTTATTAGCATAGCGTGATTTTCAGCCCACGACTTACGAGACTAACCTCGCTGCCGATTTGGAGCCTCTTTTTTTCGCTCCTCGAGTTAAAACGGTTTTTGATGAGCGCCAAAGACGCCGGGAACTCAACCTCGCGGAATAGCTGATGTCACACGATCGAAGCGACCCGTCAAAACTTCAAGGACAGGTGTTGCGATTGGCTTATTCGATGACTTGGACCAATCACAGCAATTGAGCTTGAAGATTTTATGGCTCGGTTTGATCGTGTGACATTAGCTTGTATCGATAACGCTTCAGGGTTCTAAGTAACAGTAAAGACCGGTAGAAACACAGGGCATTCAATTTAGGAAGGATAAACACACTGCCGTGCTCAGCAAGAACGCCGTAAATCCATCAAGATTTTCTCGCGTTTTTTGGAACTTAACACTTTATAAAATAAAAACTATTTTACAAATGCAACTCAAATTTTCAGGTTAAGTTTTTGACATTATTTGCAAAGAAATGCTGTAAAAAAATTTCCCCAAGGTACACAAGTTTTTCTGCTGCGATACATTGTTCCCAAAAAATTTAAAATGGCGTTTACGGCGTTTTTGCGTTGCACGGCAGCACAGAGAATGAGGGAGGGAGAGCGGCTTAAAAACGGAGGGAAGTTTCGCATTTTACAGCGATGACACTTGAAAATTTCAAGTTTTGGCAGCTGGGATGATTCTACTGCGAAATTTTGCCGTTTACACTTTCCCTTCCGCGCTCAGAAAAAAAGAGGGAAAATTAAAGTAAAAGCAGAGAGAATCAGGAAATTTAGAACATCATGTGAACCCTATTTCACTGATGGCTTAGAATTGAATAATCTGAGAAACATTGGTACAATATTGAGCTTTATTGAGCTTCTGCGCACCTTAGGCTCCGGGTGTCCTTTTTCCAGCGAAAACAGAATATGGACCATAGTGCTTGAACTTTCCCAGACAGGAGGAATGTCCAATTTCCAAGCTGTATAAAGTAAGCTTATTCTATCATTTAAAGTCTGTTGGAACAGTAAATACGGAGTCTTGGCGATAGCTTTTGGCTAAAATATAAAACATCTTGCTGCGAATCATCTGGGATTTTTGTATTTTTTCGTCACGCGTGGGAAGGGATTTTTTCTCTGAAATTTACACTTGAGTGAGACAATCGAGTAGAAGAAAAATAGGCGTAGGCTTCAGAAATTATAGTCAAAGGGGCACTTTTCTCGTCAACACTTTTACTATTGACGATATTCTAGTTAGAATGTGCTGATTTAAGGGTTGGTCCCTACAACCAAATAGGTTTTTTTCTCGATAATTTTTTGTAAATGTGGCAAAGTTGACGGCAAGTTATCGTTTGACGCCATCATACGAGATCTTTCACACGGAAGCACGTCTCCTGCTGCATCGTAAAAGAAAGGTATTTCAGAAGGCATGGAGAAACGTTCTTCACCGAAAATGAGACAAGTTGCTGTCTTTCTTGTACCTCTTTTATTTTTTTTTTCATTTTTTTATTTTTTAAATAAGGTGCGTAATCCCCCCATCTTCCTGGAAACTATCGCGGAAACACAATTTTTTTCAGTTATATTAAAAATCTGTTCCGTTAAAACATTCAAGTTAAATGTTAAATCTGATTCAGACAAATCTGATTCCTCAAGGAACAGGCCCGGATTCACTTACTTACCGCCCATGGGCCGCCTGTATTTTGCCGCCCCCTTCTCATTCGTTTTGAAACATCAATAAAAACTATCAAGTGAACGTGCCGGAGGGAGAGGGGTTCATAAGACGCATTTATTCGTATTGGACACATTTTTTGCGAGAGCCCTGTCAACACTGTACTAGCAAAAGTTCACGGAACTTGGCGCGTTAGTTAAGTTCCATAAACCTATCTCTATGTGGACAATGCCTTTCATTTATACGAAATGAACGAAAAAATAATGACAGAACAAACATAAATGTGGTTTAATAATTTTAACTTCCGCCGCCGCGCTGACCGCTCTGTGTTCGGCGCAATGCGTGAAGTATTCCTACAGTTTTGTATGCGCTATGCGTTTCACGCCGACCGCTGCTGCACGCACTGTGTTTGACGCAATGCATGAAGTATTCATGCAATCTTGTAGGCGCTATGCGTTCCACGCAGCCTGCTGCTGACTATATAGGGACTCTACTGCTGACCACAGCGACCGCATTGTCTTTGACGCAATGCGTGAAGTATTCATGCAGTCTTGTAGGCGCTAAAATGTGTTACATGCCGACCGCCGCGCGCCGCGCAGCGTCCCGCCGAGGGTTTCTCCGTTGCATCTCAAGTTCCCGTCATCATTGCTCTCTACGCCGCGCCGTTTCAGACCAAATTCCGTGTTCGGTTCCTCTCTCAATCTTAACTCGACTAATTAAAGGTGCTGTCTATTGTATCACAGAAAGACGAAAAAATTAGAAATACACTCTCAGGAAATGAGAGATTTTGTCACATTTTCTCGTTTGTAATTTTTTTTCTGAATCCGATTTTTCTTTATAGCTACATTTAAAAAAATTGCAAAATTTACCGCCCCCTAAATTTGCCGCCATAGGCTGCGACCCATGTGGTCACCCCCTAAATCCGGCCCTGTCAAGAAATGGATCAATGGAACCTAATTATGGACCTAACTCCACTCTGAGGTTGCAAAATTGACCAAATAATTCAATTTTCTATAAACAATATGTCTGCAATTTCAGTCCTAAATACCGCATGATTATTGCGAATACTCAGAAAAAAATCATTGGAATTTTTAGTTAGAAATTTTCAACAGCTCCTTGGAAAATATACGATATGTGAGTAGAAACTTTACAATATTGAACTGAAGTTGTATTCTTTCATCACGGAAGCAACAAACTGCGGAAAGATGTTGAAGGAAAAAGTCAAACGGACGCACACCATCGGCAATAGCCCGAATCTGTTTTTCTTTTTCTTTCTTTCCTTTTTTTCACGCTTTGGTCTTCTTTGCTAGAGCAAAATCTTAAACCAAAATAGCACTGGAAAAAAAATTCTTGACATATCATTTTAACTTAAAGCGTAGTTTCTTGTCGACAAAATTTGTTGGGTTTTTTTTTTAATTAAAGAAGCGTTGTAGTGCTTTAATTTTTTCAACTTAAACTTAATGGTATGGTAACAAACGACACTTTTTCAACTTAAAAAAAAAAAAAAAAAAAAAAAAAAAAAAAAAAAAAAAACTTTTTGTTGACAAGAAACGACGTTTTAAATCAAAATAATACCTCAAGAAAAATGTTTTTCAGTGAGTGAAGAAAAAAATTACCGGCGAGCCGCATCTCTCTTAAGCGTTCACTCCAATTTCCTTTTTGTTCCTGATGCGTGTC